ATATATATATATATATATATAATTATATATTAATATTGGCTAGACTTTCCTATTATTAAATTAAATAAAAATGAACACATAAAAAAATATAAAATATTCCAATCAATTATTATTAATTATAGTTTACATTTTCACATAAATAAATTAAACAGATCTTCTTTTAAGAACAGGTTTATCAGTCTAAACCCAAGAAATTATCAGATCCAAAATTCTAATTAGATAAAGAGAAATAGACCATAATGTTGAAATATGCCAAAATATTCTTAAATTCCATCGGAAATCAAATAAATTACTTGAAAGTAAATTATTTTTGTAAAATATTAATATATATGATAAATTTCATAACTAAGATTAGATGATTTGAACAAATCAAAGCGGTTAAAATTACTGTAATCGGTAGGTTTACTAAATCAAGTTCGAAAGTTCAAATCACCAATGGCGAGCGTGTTTTACGAACAAAACAAAGAACAAAAAAAAGCCTAAAAAATCAAAAGTCAAAGAAAAAAAAAATCAAAATTGGTAGTTGATTTTAATTCAAACGATACAAATTTAAAGCTCGAATTACCACAAACCGAAACTATAAACACGAAAATGGTGTCTCCTAATTCTGCGATGGCTGACAGATGTGTCGCCATTGTTTTAGATCCTGATGTCCATATAATAAGATGGATTGCCGGGTCAAAGCACCAGACGTGGCTGCATGCAAGCGCTTTGAGGAGCCCCACCATTTCCTCCCATCGAAGTCTTCCCTTCCTTCTCCTCCTACAATCCTTTTGCCTTCATCCTTTCTCAGTCTTCTTCGGCCTGCTCGCCCCGCGTTGGAGAGAAACCATGGTAATCGAGCTCGTTCTCTCTCTCTCTCTCTGTATCGGTACCGTGTGTTCGGATTCGCCGATGGCGATTCGATGAACCACAGAAATGCATGTGATGGTTAACCTCTGTCCTTTTTCTTCGTTGGTAAGGCGAATTCGGCGTCGGGAATGGCGGTGAACGATGAGTGCAAGCTGATGTTCTTGGAGCTGAAGACCAAGAGGATCTACAGGTTTATCATCTTCAAGATCGACGAGAGGATACAGCAGGTGGCGGTGGAGAAGCTGGGTCAGCCCGAGGAGACCTACGATGACTTCACGGCCTCCCTGCCGGCTGATGAATGCCGCTACGCCGTCTTCGACTTCGACTTCGTCACCGACGAGAACTGCCAGAAGAGCAAGATCTTCTTCATATCATGGTAAGAAGAACGTTAGGAGAATCTGACCTTATGCATGTCTCGTTGCCCATAACGTTTCTTCTTCTTCTTCTTCTTCACTGATGAGCCAACATCTCTTTCTTTCTTGGTATGGTTCATGGGGAGATCAAAAAAAAAAAGGAAGAATTCGGAATTAGATTCCCTTCGCTTTCACTTCTTTATGATCAAAAACATAAATCAATAGATTCATCTCATCTAACGGCTTAATGGTATCAAACTGGTAGATCCTATGTATATCCTGATGGTATCAAACTGAATCAAACAAATAATGACTTATCTTAGCACATAACAAGAACAAGAGACTCCTATCTCTTCTCGGTGCACTGTCGTCAGATAGTTTATGTGCATATATATATATATGCGCAAATCAGTAGTTCAGTAAGAAAGAATTCATATAACTGCTACTTCGACTATGTTCTTCCTGCACAGGGCACCTGACACCTCGAGGGTGAGGAGCAAGATGCTTTATGCAAGCTCAAAGGACAGGTTCAAGAGGGAGCTTGACGGGATACAGGTGGAGCTGCAAGCCACAGATCCCAGTGAGATGAGCATTGACATCGTGAAGGCCCGAGCTCTATAAGAGCTTCTGACCTTCTCACGATGAACTGATGAGTGATGGACATGTCTGTGATGCCATTAGGCTTTATGAGCCATGTCAAAGAATTGTTGTCTTTGGAAGTCAATTTCTTCATCGAAGTTTCAAGGAATTATAAAGCTGTCTTTTGCTCTTTCTTTCATATGTATATTAAGTTTCACATCAACGGGATTATATTACTTCCTTCCATTTATAAGAATCTCTTCTTTCTTTAACTCTATAGAACTGCATGTGTTCTTTGACAAACACAATAAGCCTCGTCGTCTATTAATCATTCACTTCAACAACTGCTATGAACCCTAAAATTATCCATTCAAGTAGCATATTAACCATTCATCAATAGAATTCCACATCAGGAGGAGGAATTAGGAAACAATTAAAATTAATGACTCTTATTTTCCCCCTCCTCTTTTCACGTGTGAATCAAATTTGGATATCGGATGAATTAAGATTCAGATTTGAGTGCATAAATAGTTAAGGAAGTTTGAGTTCGAATTGAATGAAAATTTCATTACTTATGATTATATTGTTAGATGATAAGTATAGTGAATTAGATTTGTTTTATTTTTGTTGGAAGAGCATGAAATAGAGTTCTGAGTAGATAAATATGTTTTATTTTTGCCAATTTTAATGTTCTATTAGGATCATTAATTTCTTCATTTATATTTTTTGCCTATTTTTTGAATTTTATTGTTGACTGTGGATAAAGCCTTGGGATTAATTATTTTGAAGGGCGATTTACAGAAGATTTCCTTTTTTTCCTTAAAAGGCATCTGCTATTTTTATAGTGTTTTTATTGTGATGATGAAAGCATTGTAACACTTATAGTGTTTGAGTGATATTATTAATAAATTATTATAAATACCTATTTAAATTTTAGTATGATATATTAAATGGTTTCATTCTATTTGGCACACTTATAGTATCTTTTCAATATCATTGTAATGTGTTTATTGAGGCTTTGAAAATATCATAAAACTATTGATATTATAAATGATATCATATTATGTGTATGTTATTATTATTATTATTATTATTCAAGGACCAATGTCAATTTTTTTAGATTTATAATTAGTTTGATTGAGATTACAAGTCCATTTGCATCATTTAGGGTTTTCAAATAGATTTTAAAATATTTATATTGTAGTGGTAAGCGACTATAACAAACTTAAGTGCTTCACTTACTGATGAGAAATATTTAACACATTATTTGAAACAAATATACTATTTGAAAAAAAGAAAAAAGGTAATGTCTTTTTAAAAAAAGATAAAATTTTCACAAAAATTCTCCTATATCCAACCACTCATATGTTACCAATATTGCTATGAAAGAGTATTATTCACTATTTTGGCTTGATTAATGGAATGATATTGATAAAAAAAAAAAAGATGTGGATTTTACAAAAGAATAATAACAGATAAAAATAACAAATCTTAGATGATTGTGCGTATTTAAATATCTCGAAAAAAAGGTGAAGCATTTAACGAAAAGGATAAACTTATGTTTTAAAAATCATGATGATATATTAGTTAGTCTTGGCAAGAAATGGCTAGCTGAATTTTTATTGATAATAAATATCAATTTATACATACAAAGAGGTTACAAAAATGTTAATTATATCATTTTTTTCAATCAATAACAAATATAAAATATTCATTAAATTATTTTATAATTTAGGAGATCATGGTCTTCATTATCAATGGAATCATCATAATATGTTATCATAATTTTTATAATTTAGAATTATAATAACATAATAACAAATTATTGATAAGATCATGATAATCTTATCGTGATTTAATAATTCCATTCCTAATATACTCCTACATGATGGTGCTTCCATTAGAGACACTGATCTTAGACATAAGTAGAAGGAATTACTAACGTGACAAAGGCTTGATAAAGTATTGCAAGTTAATCAGAAAAAGAGACATGATTTGAAAGATAACTTTGTTGTTAAATTATTGACAAGATTTATTGATGTTTTTTTGTTATAACGTTGTTGTATGTTGCTTCTAGAATAATTGTTTCAATGATTATTTTACTGATTGTGGATCTCGTCTTTATTTATAGAATTAACTTTGTTAACAAAATTGACGGTGAAAAAAGCACGGTACCAACTCTCATTTAACATAAATTTTTTAAAAGATATAAGAATATCATGAGCATTGTAGTTGAGATCTCCATATAATCTAAACCATGACCATTTAATATATAAAAAATGATCTCTTCATCATCAAGAGGTATATCAGCCATAACAAGTGCACCAGATTGAGTTTTGATAGTATGCATGTATCCAAAAATAGATTTTGTGCTCTTAGAAAATTTGAAGATGATTTTTTGAAGTTGTATTAAGTGATCATAAAATTAGTTGGCATATATTGCTACAAGCTTGGACTATACTTCATAAGAGGATCTTGTAGAGATCCCATAGGGAATGATTTGTTGATAGAAAGATAATGATAATACTTCCAAGAATATAATCTTAATGGACCAAAAAAGAGTATTTAGGATTAATAACTTTAAGATTATTATTTTTAATTATTTGTGAAGAACAAAGGAAGTGATGATACCATCTATATAACTTATAAGATTATAACCGATTAAAAGAGAATGAAATTGAGTATATCAAGAGGTATAAGTTTGTAGGTGTGAGTTGAGAGAAGTTTGGACTGTCATTAACAGAGCCAATAGTCTTTTTAAGAATAAAAGAGTTGGGGGGTGTGATGATACGAGTGCTAGTTAAAGAGATATTACTAACAATATAAAAAATAAAGAAAAAAAAGACACTGCTTATAAGAAGAGAGGCTTGCTAGAATATAAAATTCAATAAAAAATATAATACTATCTTCAACCATAACGAAAGATAAGGTACAAAGTAATAATAGCAAAGAGTTATAAGGCTACCTTCGATGAAAGATGATATACAAACTAATAATAGTAAAAAGTGGATAAAAAACAAAAACTCTTTCGAGCATCTATTCACTCTTATAACAAGAGAATGACTAACTAAATGTTTATTGATACCGAGTACCAATTTATATACATAAAAAGATTACAAAATATAATAATTATATAATTTTTAATTAATAATAAACATAAATAATATTTATTAAATTATTTTATAATTTTAAAAATGAGATTATAATATTTATTATTGATAGAATCATGATAATATATTATCATAATTTCTATGATTCAAAATCATAATAACAAGTGTAATCGTCAAATATATTGATTCTTTAAAAAAAATTCTCATATTCTATTGTGGACTATTCCACTCGTAAATATACCAGAAAAAAAATTATGAAACGGACAACAGTGACTAAATATCTTTATTCAACTTCTAACCAGTAAAATTTTACATCTCCACAGCATTTCTAACCACGAAAAACATATGTTTATCCTCTTCCATTATATATTTTAATTTTAGGTAGATTGTAATCACCATCATTATAAGCTCGAACCATCATGTCAGGATTTGGTCAAATATATCGTCCATCGAAATAAGATAGTTAGATTAACGACGTCAATTTTGCAACGCTAAGATTTCCACCCTGCCGTTAACGTTGATGTAAAACACTTAACAACACTAGCCATCGTTTTCATTAGTTGTTTAGATCTTAAAATAGCCAAAATATTCTTAAAATTATAGAATTTAATAGTCTCTTCTCTAATAATAAAACGACAGCCAAATGACCTATGTGTGTGTTAGTGTGCAAATATCAAAAGAGGGTCACGCCTACAAAATAGCCGAAAACCCCTACGCGAACCGGGCCGATTCTTCAACGGTTCGCCCCAGCCCAACCCAAACCCAGTCCATCCCCTCGTCTCTCCCTTTCGTCTCTCTCTCTCTCTCTCTCTCTCCTCTAATCTATCTCCGTTCTCCTTCATGCTTCCCATCTTTACCTAAACAATGAAATGAACCAGTTGTCTTCAATGTTGACCACCTCCAGATCTCCTGCCCTCCTCCTGCTTCCCTGACATTACCCTTCTTCCCCTCCCTGTCCCTCTCCCTCTCCCTTTCCCTTTCGTTCTTTAAGTCTTTGGTCAGATCTGTAGAATTTTGAGGCCTCTTCGTTTCTTTTTCCTTCCTCTGCTTTGCTTTGACGTCGTCTCCGTCTTCTTCTTCTTGTTCTTATTTTAATCTTATATTCCTTTTCCTAACCCTACGAAGAAGAAGTCTACAAAATGGAGGACAACCCGCACGAGCCGGCTGAGTCGTCCCAACCGGTCGATCGCGGCAGAGGCGAAGAGGCCCGCCTTGCCCTCTCCGGCGGCAGCCCCTCCAGCTCCCTCGCGGAGGACGACCTCTTCGAGCCCGTCTCCCTCAGAGATCTTGAAAACGCCGCCCCAGATCCCGATCCCGATCCCACTCCCACCCCGGCTCCCCTCCGCTTCTCCTCGGCCTCCGACGATCGGCACCGTCTTTCCGCCGCTTCCTCGCCCGCCGCCTCCGCCGCCCCCTTCTCCTCGCCCGCCGACATGGCGGGCGAGCTGCCTCCCAGCCCTTCGGAACCCGCGATCCATCCGTCCTCATCCTCCGCAAGCTTCGACTCGTATGTGTCCCCCCTCGGGTCGCCGGCCAAGCCGCGGTCGAAGCCGGCGTTGCCCGACGTCTCGCCGGAGGTCGTCCATCTGGTTGACTCCGCCATCATGGGGAAGGTGGATAGTTTGGAGAAGCTTAGGTCAGTGATCTCCGGGGAAGGGACCGACGGCGTTGGGGATGTTTCGAGAGCCGTGGTGGACGCGCTTCTCGCTACCATGGGCGGCGTGGAAGGTCTTGATGACATTGGTGGTGGCGGGAATGTGGATGCAAGTTCTCCGAGCGTGATGTTGAGCTCGAGGGCTGCGGTGGTTGCCGCAGAGTTGATCCCCTGGTTTCCCTGGGAAGGGGATTCTGGGACTTACATGTCGTCAAGGACTAGGATGGTTAAAGGTTTGCTTATGATCTTACGAGCATGCACAAGAAATCGAGCAATGTGCTCAGCTTCGGGTTTGTTAGGCACTCTCCTGCTATCTGCTGAGAAGATATTCATCGATTCAGTTAACCGCAGTTCCTGGGATGGCACATATTTATGCCAATGCATTCAGGTCTTGGCGGGACATTCTCTGAGTGTGCTTGATCTCCACAAATGGCTTGGTGTCATTAAGAATACCTTGCCGACTGACTGGGCAAAACCTTTGATGCTGGCATTGGAGAAGGCCATGGGGAGCAATGAGGCGAGAGGCCCTGCACACAGTTTTGAGTTTGATGGGGAGAGCTCTGGGTTGCTAGGTCCTGGGGATAGCCGATGGCCTTTCTACAATGGGTATGGATTTGCCACTTGGATTTATATAGAATCATTCTCAGACACCCTCAACACGGCAACCGCTGCTGCTGCTATTGCTGCAGCTGCAGCAGCAAAGTCAGGTAAGTCATCTGCCATGTCAGCAGCTGCAGCAGCTAGTGCGCTTGCGGGAGAAGGGACCACTCATATGCCTAGACTCTTCAGCTTTCTGTCTGCCGACAACCATGGAGTGGAGGCTTACTTCCATGGGCAGTTCTTGGTAGTGGAGTGTGGCAGTGGCAAGGGAAAGAAGGCTTCTTTGCACTTCACCCATGCATTCAGGCCTCGAAGCTGGTACTTTGTTGGGTTGGAACACACTTGCAAGCAAGGTTTGCTTGGAAAGGCTGAGAGTGAGTTGAGATTGTATGTAGATGGGAATCTGTATGAGAGCCGCCCGTTTGAGTTTCCACGCATCTCAAAGTCCTTGGCATTTTGCTGCATTGGGACGAACCCACCTCCCACCATGGCTGGACTTCAACGGCGGCGGCGACAATGTCCGTTATTTGCAGAGATGGGGCCTGTTTACATCTTTAAGGAACCGATTGGTCCAGAAAAAATGCTTCGACTGGCTTCCAGGGGAGGAGATGCACTTCCTTGTTTCGGAAATGCTGCTGGGTTTCCCTGGATGGGAGTGAATGATCATGCGAGGAGTCTGGCAGAAGAGAGCTTTTCATTGGATGCTGAGATTGCAACAAATCTGCATCTTTTGTATCACCCTAAACTGCTAAGCGGCCGGTATTGTCCGGATGCTTCACCTTCAGGTGCAGCAGGTTGGTCCATTCCCTCCTTTGCTACATCATGATGTTAGCCTTTGAATTGCTCTTTTTTAACATTACACATCTCTTTGTTTTTGTAAACACATATGGCTTATCATTATAAAGCATTACTTAAAAAAGCAATGCTGGTATAACTAAGATTTGTGAACGTTTTGTCCATGAATAAAGTAAAAGGTCAGCTAACTATTTTGCAACTATAGTAGTCTTTGTGCTATTTTTCTACTGATGTTTTAAGTGGAAAATGTAATTATATTCTCAAATTTTTTTTTCTTTTACTTGACTTTGCATTAGCAAGAATAAGATGTCAGGAACTTAGCCAAATCTGAAAAAAATGTGGTTAAAGCTTTAATTTACTTCAACTTAAGTTCCTTTTTTAAGATCTCGAGTTATGCAATTGGTGGTAGTATGCAATGGGCAACTGCCTTCACATCTATCTGATTTAGTACCTAGTCCTGCTGGGTTAGCATTGGATGAAGCATGGCGGTCATGTGAACAAAATAAAGTACTGCAGAGAAGTGATATTGAAGAACTCATGGTTTTACTAAAGTTGAAATTGTGATGATTCACATATTCTCTACAATGAATTTGAAATGGACCTTGAAAAGAGCTGACTTGTAGACTTATGGAGTAAAGTCAGCAATTCCTCTTCTTATTCCTCTCATACTGGCTCCTTATTAAATTTTGAAGATCTTAATGTAAATGAAGAACTAAAGCCTTCCCTTATCGATCTGAATGAGGATGACCTTAAGTTACTAAATAGAAAGGACATTTGGACTTATAGTGGTCATTTTTATTATTATTCAGTTACTAAACCAATTGTAAGATATCTTTACGCATAGAAGAATATTCACATTAAAATCAATGGGAAGTAGAATAGCTAGAGATTTATTATTTCTCAAATCAGACCCTAAAATTTGACCTAATTATACTTGGCTTTATGCTTAAAATTGGTTCTCTTTTGGTGTTTTAACTAAGATAAATTGATCTACCAGTATGGTTGATGCAATCAAGAGATCCAATTTTGTAAGAGTAGAGATCTGGTGCCTTCACTAGTGGGCGTTAGTTGTAGTTGCAAAAAGTTTGATGTCATCTAGTGTCTAGTGTTGTAGCAAGGAGTTTTCCATGATAGAAAAACATATAGTTAAAATTTTGGATTAAAGAAGTGAAAGACATAGAGAAAGAAGATTCTGGAATGGAAGACTGGAGTTAGAAGTGTAATGAAACTGAAACAAAGACCAAGGGACGGGGATAACAAGGACACTGACCTTGAAGAAAAATATTATTTTTTTTAACATCATATCATATCCTACTCAAACACTAAGCACTTATATTTTGTAGATACATAGCATTGATTTGATTTTCTCCAGCCATTTGCGGCCTTCGCTTGCCTTTGGACCTAATTGTTCTTGACATTCTGGGCTCTCATGCCTATTGTATAGCCCAATTACTAACATCGTATTTCAAATAACATACCAAAGCACCTGTTGATCCATATATTTGAGTCAAATCATCCTTCAGTTACTTTTGTGCACACGAGATCCATAGTGTTAACAAGAACTATCACATTGTTGTGCTATCTTGTCTTCAGTGCTTTCCTGATACAAATTGTGGCACTGCCGTCACTAGATTTTTATTTGTAAATTGTAGACCATGTCAGGTAGGTAAATGCTGAAGCCTATTTTCATTCCATGCGATGACATACTGTGCTTTTTTCTTTGCTGGTAAAACTGAAGTCTTGCCTTTTTTTTTTCTTGGGCCACCAGATGTTACACGACTGTATACCCTGCTTCAAGGTTCTAAATAGTAAATACCAATATGTTTCTAAATCTTAAGGGACTACTACGGTGCGATATGCCTGAATACACCAGCAAAAGCGGCTAGGAACTATTTATACATATATCTATGGCTGATATGCTAGTATACCAATATGATATAGAAGGTATAATTGGTATATCACAACATTTGAACCTATGGCATGCCTGCATCTTGCTAGCATAGCATCAATTGACATGACACTCTTTGGTTAGCCTTGATGAGATGGAATTTTGTATGCTTAAATTGCACAGATGATTTTTCTTCTATACAATTATTGTTAACTTTCAATATCATACAATTAGCTTTGGTTATCAGATATCTTTGGCCTGGCAAGGTTCTATCCGTATTGTAATATTTTTGTTTGCCTCAGTAAGAAAAGGTCCATCTCTAGTTTCTCTTTACCTTCAGCATTGTTGCAACGTATGTCTCAGTTTTCTCCAATTTATGAGAGCAGTTGAGTATTAATTTACTGAAGTTTGGCCAAATAATGAAGCATTGAACTTATTGGGTTATACCACAATATGATAATCTTTGTAAGAAGAATATATTATCATGTTCACATTGATAGTTATAAGGATCTCATAAATCTTTGTAGCATGAATTAAATCATATGTTATTGCAGATCATCTTGACTGGATTTCGCAAGTATATTTTGATTTTCTGGTTTTCATCTTTTGTTGTGTTAAAACATACTTCACAATCTTTTTTGACTCATGTGAAGCAGCTCATTTTTGTTTTGTTTTATTCATATTTCTTCCGAGGTGTTGTTTGATTTTACTGTTCTTCTATAGTTTCATTTTAGTGTCTTCGGTTCAGTTATTGTTTATGCTCATTACTTTTCCAGGTATTCACCGAAGACCTGCCGAGGTCCTTGGGCTGGTTCATGTTGCTTCTCGTGTACGCCCAACGGAAGCATTATGGGCCTTAGCCTATGGGGGTCCAATGGCTTTGCTTCCAATGACAATAAGCAATGTCCAGACAGAAAGCCAAGAACCCATACTTGGTGATTTTCATTTGTCTGTTGCAACTACTTCCCTTTCTGCCCCTATTTTCAGAATTATCTCCGTAGCTATTCAACATCCTGGAAATAACGAAGAGTTATGTCGGACCCGGGCACCTGAACTTTTGTCAAGAGTTTTACATTATCTGGTACAGACACTCTCTAAACTGGCACTTGGAAAGCAACATGGATTGAGTGATGAGGAGCTTGTTGCTGCTATTGTTTCTCTGTGTCAATCTCAGAAACACAATAAAAAACTCAAAGTAGAGCTTTTTAGTACTTTGCTGTTGGATTTGAAGATATGGAGTCTGTGCAATTACGGTTTGCAAAAGAAGCTCCTTTCTTCACTTTCAGACATGGTATTCACCGAAGCATTAGTCATGAGGGAAGCAAACGCCTTGCAAATGCTTCTTGATGGCTGCAGAAGATGCTATTGGATTGTTCGTGAAAAAGATTCAGTTGATACTTTTTCACTAAATGGGACATCAAGGCCTGTTGGTGAAGTGAATTCACTGGTTGATGAGCTCTTAGTGGTTATTGAACTTTTAATAGGTGCAGCATCACCTTCATTGGCGGCTGATGATGTTCGGTGTTTGATTGGTTTTCTGGTTGACTGTCCACAGCCTAATCAGGTATATTACTGGATTTTTCCAAAATTGCCTGCATAATGCTGTTATGTATGAGACAAATGATGCTTTTGTTTTTTCTAATGGGTTCTATGATTTAAAATTTTTAATATTTTATTGATTATCTTTTGTTCTCTGGTAATGGTCATATATTTAACTTCTTTAATGCTCATTGGATATCTAGCAGCATCTTTCTGCACTTACAGTGGAGCTTTATTTAACATTGTTCTTCTTGTTAGTAGAAGTCAATTATGCATTCATGATGTGATTATCAAAACTTAGATTATGTATTTTTCTTGCTATTATCCCCTTCTCCTTTGGTATTAAAATCTGCCCTTTTGTCAACTACATTGTTTTTATATTATTAGAATGGACATATAAGTCTTTTCAGTGTGTCTAAACTTTGTCCTCTTCTTGATGGGAAACTAATTGTTTGTTATTTCAGGTTGCTAGGGTGTTGCACTTATTCTATAGATTGGTGGTGCAGCCCAATACATCTCGAGCTAGCACGTTTGCACAGTCCTTCATATCTTGTGGTGGAATAGAAACACTGCTGGTTCTTCTGCAGAGGGAAGTAAAAACTGGGAACCATAATATCTTGTCTCGTTCTGGTGAAAGTGATGCAGATAATGTATTGAAAAATTGTTCTGCACAGGAAACCAGTCTGGGTGATCAATTAGAATTATCTGATGAAAAGGAGTCAGCTTCTAATGGAAAGAACTTAGTTTCAAAATCCTTGAACAGTGATCATGGCTCTTTTAAGGTTTCATTGGCTGCAAACATTGAAAGAATGATATCTGCTCCTGAGAATCAGCTTGTAAAGAATCTGGGAGGCATCGGTTTCTCAATTACTGCTGACAGTGCTAGAAACAATGTCTATAACATTGATGATGGTGATGGAATTGTTGTTGGAATTCTCAGTCTTTTGGGTGCTCTTGTCACAAACGGTCATCTGAAAATTGTCTCAAATACTACTACAACTCCATCTGGTAATATTCTTAGTACAGGTCCTGAAGGAGGCACCATGTTTGATGACAAAGTGTCCTTGCTCCTTTTTGCATTACAGAAAGCTTTTCAAGCTGCTCCACGGAAGCTTATGACCACCAACGTCTATACTGCTTTATTGGGTGCCACGGTATGCATTCTTTGTCATACTTATTTTCCTTACTTCTGAAGTCTATCTTATTCTCTCAGGTCAATTTGAATATCTTAGCTACATAACTCTGCCAGTTTATCACAAAGATTTTTGTGTGAACTGAGGATCAAAAAGAGAAGAACGGAAGGGAGGCAGATATCTAGTTTGGATGAGTAAAGAGATCTATAAGATTCATGGTGAAATAATTGGAAACTAGAGATTAAAACTGGGGAGCTGTTGTCTGAAAGTTAACAATCCCCTAATTTTTATCCTCTTGTTTGTCAACCATGACTGATGGTATATTACAAGGATTTTCATGTTAGCTATCATGCTTGCTTTGCTCCTAGTTTGACATGGTATCGGCAATGAGCCATTTAGGCCATGTTTGCTCTTGCTTTGAATACTGTTGAAACTTGTGTGTGGATTTGATTTTTTTCCTCTAAAAACATATGGTAAGAAAAATATTTACCGAAAGAATGCTGAAAGTCTCTTCTTTCTTTTAATGAATATTCATACTTTGGTGACATTTGCATTTATACATATATATTATAAGTTTTAAAACTTTAAGTAGTTGCAAACATCAGTACACTTTGTTTTAGACAACAGACATAACTTTGCTAAACCATGCATGTATATGTTATCTAGATAAATGTCTCTTCTGCTGATGATGGCTTGAACCTATATGATTATGGTCACCGTTTTGAGCATGTCCAACTTTTGTTGGTCCTTCTCCGGTCACTTCCATATGCATCCAGGGCATTCCAGGTTCGAGCTATACAGGTAACATGCTAAAAATTGTTAATAAATGTTGATATGTTATTTTTTTTATGATTTCTTATATCTGCCCTGCTCATGTTTGTTTACATATCCAGTCAATACAATTTTCTTTCATATGATTTTGTTCACTTATCGTGATTTATCAAAAGGAACTCACTATATTTTCATGGTCATGTTCTTTGCTCATTGTTTTTAATCAAGTCCTTATGTTAACTGCGAATGTTTATCCAATTCCTTTTTCATAATCATCATAATCATCTGTTTGCATAAGATTTTCCATGTGGTTAATTTAATGTTTTCATTTATATTTTTTAAATTCTCAATTGGTTAAGTGAGTAGTGTTGTTAATCATTTCTACATTCACTAGCTCTATGGTGATACCAAGTAACAAAAATATGAGATATCTTCCTTGTATAATTAATGGCCAAAATTTATCAAGTTGGCTAATCTGTTGCATTTCATGTTGATCATGATATGCCGCTTGAATATTCAATTCCCTATTTTTTATTTGTTATTTTATTTCTTTTTTTGGTGTAATGCATTGATTCTTGTTTTATTATTGAAAGGAATTCGCTAGACGATTTTATCAGTTTTTGCATGATACACAAGGAAATAGGTTCCACAATATTATGATATACTTTACTATCATTGTAAACTTTCCAACCGTGTGCTGCAGATTGCTGCATGTGCATTATACTACAATTCCTATTTCAGCTCATTTGAAATCTCTTTACTGGATGCAAACATGTCGATCTATTATCCTCTATTCTTTCAAATAACATGTCTTTTCTTTTCTATCATTTGTAATATGTATTGTCACAGGCAAAGCTGTAAACAGGGTGTCGATGTAATGCTCATGCATGCCCGTGTCTTTCGGTTTTGTTCATGCTTTGCATAGTATGTAGAGGGCTTGCAATAGGTTTGATAGTTCCATTTTGGTTGGCTTTTGTGATCGTTTCAGGCTTGTAAACGTAGGTTGTGTACAGTTATAGTGTAGAGGCAAAACTGTACATAAATAGACCATCCAGGTAGTCATTTTGGGGGTTTTCTGATTCCGTAGAGTGGTGCAGAGTGTCAGCCAACACGACACCCAGGAGTTACCCGGGTGATATATGGCTGGATGGGCCTTTGGGGTAGTGTCTAAGGCTAGTTCATTGCCTTGTTCCGCAACAGTGTCATGTGGGCACTTGTGCGGTTTTTTGCTCGCGGAGGACTACCTTGGATCCTTTGTTGTGCGATATTTCAGAGCTTGCGAAGTCTATGCTTGTAATTTGCATTGCCTATCAAGTGTTTGCTAAAATGGTTGTTTGTGGATTTCAAGTTGGACGCTTTCTCAAACTCGTCTTCTCTTTTATAGGTCCTTAATGGACTATAAGAGGTTTCGAGGAGGTTGACCTTTTGCGGACGAAAATGTAAGGGTGCCGCACGACTTAGACAAAACCAACTAAGTATGTATTAGTATGGACAAATTACTGACTCATAATTAGCTAAACTTTATGAGCACTAGCCTGGCCTCCGGAGGATAATGCAAGCTTGCATTTTAATAATGGACAAACTACTGCCTCTGAACGTATCAATCCCATAGAAATATAAATTTCTATAGTAGTTAAGGCAATGACAAACCTTAATGTCCCAACTATTGCGACTGGCTACATGGATTGTTTTGCACTATTGAACTATGTGAAAGGCAATACCTCTAGTTAAAGCAAGAGCATGCAAATATCATTTTATTGTTTCTAATAAAGTTTTCTTAGGTCTTCCTTTATTCTCCTCATTGGACTCGTCTTAATCGACTCTTGTTTAATCACAACAATCATAGATTGATAGACCTCTTTTGAATGTGTCCATATCATCTTATAATATTTTCTTTCATTTATCCTCTACTGGGTAAACATTAAATTATTCTTGATCGAAACATTTCTTATTCCATCTTTTTTAGTTACTTTGTACATTTGCCATAATATTCTTATTACAGCTATACACAAAGCATGTTATTATTAACTGCTTAACACTTGGGCTCATAGTGTTGGTACAATGATAAGGTTACTCCTTTGCAATCTATGAAACCATGGAAATAATCCAAGGTTAATACATTGACCCTCCCAAGACCCGCATCCCAAGACCCTGCATTGGTGGAAACCTGTACACTGGGTACATTTTTTTGGCACTGGAACTCATATATATTTGTCACCAACGTTACAAGTTATAATTATTTTTTAAAATTTTCCTTCCAATCAAAGAGGAACATGGTAATTGCACAAAACTCTTGATGCCTTTTTCCACTAAATTGCATCTTTTGCTCTATGATGTCTTCATTAATCTCCCTTTCTTATTCACAAAATTCTTTTAGTTGCTGAGGCAGTCTCTAGGAAATCCTTAGAGGTAATTTCCGACAAGTGCAAAGGTGGACAATGACTGCAATTTTGCTGATTGCAAGATGGATGCAGGTTGAGATTTTTTAAGTATGCCATCAAAGTTAATGGACAGGCCATTGAAGGAGTCTTTGATCTTCTTCTTCATCCAGAATATATCAAGTATTGATAGTATAACTTGGGGGACAATCGTGTGAATTTGATCTAGCAAAGATTGCATTATAGAGATTCTAACCATCTTCTTGAGGCAAGCACTGGGTTTGTCTTGCCTTTTTGCCAAACTTGCAAGTTGATAATTGGTTATTGAATTTGCCATCTACATCGTCAACTGCTTGAGATTATCACTGATGGCTTGATTATCATTTGTAGAGCATGTTAATGTGGTTGTATCTTGGTGTAGTATGTATTCGTCCTGGGGATTTTGCCATGTTAATTGTTGAGGAAGCCATTTTGATGCCAATATCATTGTCGTGTATGATCTAGAAATGCTTGGTTGGATAGTAGTAATACTCTTTAGATGCACTTTGTCAAATGTAATTTGGTGTCTACAATCTTATGACCCTATCCAGCTCTTACCTGGGTTTGTGATGGTTGTATAGGGTTATTGGAGTGTAAGATGGTTGAAAATCTTATTGGTACACCAGGATAGTTTTCAATGGTGCTTAAATCATCAGCGATCTCTCAGACTTACCACTAAATAGCCAGAGTTATGTTGATATCACTAATATAGGCAGGTTTTCCAGTTGATAATTATCATAGGGAGCTAAATACTGGCAGTAAGGTTGATTCTAGCTTAGTGAGAAGAATTCATTGGATATGCTAATGATTGTCCAAGCATGAAATGTTGTGGTAGTAGTCATAGTCCTGTTTACCAAGGGTCTAGTGAGCTCAGCTGATGTCCAATCAGTGATCATGGATGACTTTTGATGTAGAACATTGTAGTGAAATATCATGGTATTAGTCATAATCCTGATTACCATGGGTCTAGTGATTTTAGCTTATGTCCATTCAGTGATGTTGGATGATTTTTGTTGTAGAACATTGTAGAAAGTCAATAAAGAGTTGGGGCATCTTGTTCATGTACCAGATTGTTAGGATATGCTACTTTCTATTAAATACTGGCTACTTAGGCGAAGATGGTAACTTTTGAAAGTAAATTTTGATGGAGAGATAAAGGAGGGTATAATAGAAATCAAGGAATGTTGTGTCGTATACTAGACCCACACCGGCTACTGGCAACTTGTACGTACTGGTCAGTACAATGTACCGACGCATGGTGCACTGGTCTATACTAGTTTTTTTAAGATATATAAGAATAAGGAGAAGAGGAAGATGCAATGGAGGACGAGGAGGAAGAAAGAGGAAGGGTAAGGAGGAGGAAGGCAGAAGAGGAGGCAATGGAGGAAGAGGATGAAGAAGAAGCGGTGGAGGAGTAGAAGAGGAAGAGGAAGCGGGAGGTAGGATGCATTGCATTGGCAATGGTAACATTGTTGGATGGCAACGTGATAGGCAACGATGATGGTGTTGGTTCCATGCTCCCTACATGAAAAGGGCTTGCGTTTGCGAGACCTAAGTAAAGCTTTATTATTTAAGCTTTTGATTATTTTGTTAATGGGTTGGACCAGATTGCTCGAAATGGAGGCGGTCTGTGGTCTATGCCTGAACCAGTACTTACCTACATGGACTGGTATGTACTGTCTATTTTGTACCAGTTTGGGAGAAATAAAAATCCTAATAGAGGGGAACATAGAATATATATTTGATAGAAGAAGAGACTTCATCAACTTCAACCGTATGTTTTGTCTTAAATGTGCATATGTTTAAAAAGTTTAGAGAAAAATTGAATCCGCCACCCCACAAAATCTCTCTAACGGATGACTCTAGAGCTCTCAAAATAGAAATATTATTAGGATAATAATGAGCCTAACCCATAACATATCCATATTAGGTTTTTTGGAGACTAATTAAATTCTTACTTGGACTTTTAAGAGTCTAAAATTGTCACTTAGAAATGATGAAAATACATACATATTGATGGGGAGTTTCATCTTTAATGCTTAGATGGATTCCCTTGTTCTTTATAGTCTTGGTCTTCTTCAAAAATGATGACTTTCTCAGGACCTATTTGATTTAGGGCTATCCTAGATGGCCAATCTACTATTGAACCGAATCCTATCCCAATTAGAAATAATGGTGAAATCATGTGCAAGAAGTGGTTTTAATTTGAATGAAAGTAGAAACAATTGCTAAACTCTATCAGACCACTTTAGGTGCTAATCAATGTAAAAACAGGTCCCATGTTGATCTGACAATTGATTTTACGTTAATCTTTTTCAAATTGGCCATCCAAAATCTAGATAAGTCTAATATAGCTTCATTGGAGGGCCAAAAAGTATCCTTATTTGTTTGACACAACTAAGACATGATTGGAATTAGGAGGTTCTGTTTATGCTTAAGTAGGTAATGTTAAGCAATGTTTTAAAATGCGTTAGGCGCTAATGTCCTAAAATGCCCGAGGCATTAGGCGCTTGCCTAGGCACCTGCTCGAGCAAAGCGAGACGCCATGAAATATTAAAATATAAAAAATATATAATATAATTGATAAATATGATTATATAAATAAAATATGATATTAAATTGAAAAGATCTAAGGTACCAAGTCACATTATCCATCTTCTAATAACAAAAATGTTAAAAGATTTAAAACAAAAAAGTTTTACATCAAATTCAATCATCATCATATTCAACATCGTCATTCTTAAACATATCATCACCTTTTTCTTCCTCTTGTCCATCTTCGTCAAAATAAGTTTATTCCTCTTCAACAATGCTAAGAGATGAACTTGAGGCTTTTGCACTCATTTTTTGCTTTCGGCATCTTTCTTGTATATGTTTGCAATTCTTTAACACTTGAGGCTCTTGTCATATCTCCGCATGTCAAGTTGTCATCTTCAAATAGAAGCTCTTATTCGGTATCTTGCAAGTTTGCACCAATTTCTACTATCAACCATTCATTTGAATCATCAATGTCTTGTAATGAGATTGGATCAATATTATTTTACAAATCATGACGAGACTTCAATGCTGGATATATTTTATATAAACCAGATCGTGTAATCATTGATACTCTCCAACCAATTTTCTCTCTTTATGTGAATCTATCATATCATATAATTTAAAATATATTAATACATCTATCTAAAATAGAATAGATTAATTAAAACAAAAATATTTTGTGATCATTACATATTTAAAGATACTCCAATTTTGCTCATGACCTGTAATACTACAAGTCAAACTAAGAATTTTGATAGTCAATTATTGTAAGCTCAGGGTGAAATTTTTAAATAGACTTCATTCAACTATAAAATTTAACTTTATTATTAGCAATAATATATGATAGATGAAATTAATTATATAAATTTATAAATACTTAGGGATGTAGTCCTAGATCGAATTGCCATTGGAATTCTAAAATGACCATCGATATTCTTATGTAAAGATAATTCACGTGTGATCTTACTTTGCACCTCAAGGTTTGGAACCAATTTTTCAATGCACTTATATAACCCATTTATAACTTTTGCATCAAACTCAATGGAGGTGTTCTTATAAAAGAATTATGGGTTTAAATAATATACCGCTGCATGTAATAAACGATGAAGTTGATGATTCTATCTTTCGTCTATGTTTGCAAATATGTTCTTATACTTTTTTCATTTTTATTAAAAGTCTTTTGAATAATTTCCTTTGCTCTATCCATAGCCTTATGAATATATCTCATTGCAGACTTCTTTTAATTATCTACCAATCGTAGGATTCGAACAAGAGGGCCTATTACATTTAATGTATGAACTATAAGATTCTTAAAGGATAACATTAAGATGATATCACCGACCCTCTTGCTTTTTGCTTCTTTTGCCAATTTGCTTGTCACCCGTTTGCTTCAACTAGGTGCTCGCCCGAGGCGCTCGACGCTTGGGTTCAGGCGAGTGTCCAAGCAATGCTTCATTGAAGTGTATCGCCCGATTACTGTGTGTGGCACTCGGGCCTTGCCTCGCCTCACTTGAGTGCCTGTGCGCCTTTTTAAATCACTGATACCAAGTTTAAATTTAGGTCATTAATTTTCTACCGTCAGGTTTGATATATGATTAAAGATAAAGAAACGAAGATTGAGCCAGTGCAATAAGAGATATTGTGTTGCTAAAACTACATATTGATGAAATTGATTAATTATAAACCTAAATAATTATTTGATCATTGTGGTTGGAGGTTGGAGTTAGTACAATCAGTAATTTAAAAAGTACTAGGCTCCAAGGTCCAGAAATGGCCGAGGCGTTAGGCGCTTGCCCAGGCGCTCGCTTGAGCGAAGCGAGGCGCTACAATATAAAAATATATAATATAATTAATAAATCTAATTATTTAAATAAAAATATGATATTAAATTAAAAAAAACTTACAAAATCACAATATCACATTAACAAAAAAAAATCTCAAAATTCAAAACAATAACAATAATTTTAAATAAATAAAAATTAGCAGCATTAAAATCAAAATAATATATTATTAATCTAATAAATAAAAAAATACTATTACTAGTATACAGTTAACAGTATACTGTTAATATATTGTTAACAGTATACTATCGAGTCGATGTGAGAAGAGATAGCAGCGAGCAGCGGGAGTGGGAGAGGCGAGCGGCGACAGTGGCAGCGACAGCGGTAGCAGCGGGAGCGGGAGCGACGAGCAGTGATAGTGGCAGCGACAGCGATATCGGCGACAGCGGGAGCAGCGAGCAACGATGGTGGCAGCGGTAGCAGTGAGCAGCTGCAGCAGTAGTAGTAGCAGCGAGCAGTGGGAGTGGCGACAGTGGCAGCGACGAGCAGGGTTAGGGTTGGGGAAGTCGCAAAAGGGATGTTGGGAGGCTGATATCGGCGCTTTAGTTGATTCAATTGAACCAATTGAAGCACCGGAGACCAAATCAAACGTAAAACACTGGTTCGGCTGCCTGATTTAACCTGGGCGCTTGCCTGAAGCGCTCGGAGCCTGGGCTCGGGAGAGTGCCTAGGCGGCGCCTCTTTGAAGTGAGGTGCTTTGACATGAAGCGAGGCGCTCGGGCCTCGCCTCGCCTCACCCGAGCACCTAGGCGAGCGCCCGAGCGCCTATTGAAATCGCTGAGTACAATACAACCTCTAGAGCTGATTGGGTTAGGCAATGAGAAGTTTGCTAGCTTATAGGTCTTAAAATTACATACTGAGCTGCAAGCTAACATTAGTAGGTAGGATTGTTAATGCGTTGCTATTTCATTGGCATTATGTTCAAAGTTTATATCATTAGGGAATGCTATTTCACTTTGACTGGTATAAAAAGGTTGGTATGTATTGGTGTGAGCATGAGTTGATATGCGGATCGCCCCCATTTCAGGTGGTTCAGTCTGCCTATATATAATAAAAAAGCGACTGCTTGCACATCTTTGCCCTAATTGCCTCTCGCACTCGCATAGAAACCATCATGAGATTCTTTGATGTGCATCATCCGATCTCTGCAACACATCGCCGGCCTACTGAGTACACGCCTCTTCTCCTCTTCCTCCACCGCCCCCTCTACTTCTTCCTCGTCTTCCTCCATCGTTTTCTCTTCTTCCTTTCTCTTCCTGTTCTTCGTCTCCTTCCTCCGCTACCTCCTCTTCTTCTTTCTTCCTTCAATTGTCTTGTCCTTTTCTCCTTTTGACACTTACGAGTGTATCATGTCTTGGTACTGGTCCAATCCAGGGACCAATATGGGACTGGTACCCGAAATGGCAGTCCTTGTATGTCATTCCTTCATTTAATTGAGGTTCAGTTTCTTCTCTTCGAGGGCTTACTGTGTATATTATAATTGCTCATTTGGTGCAACTTGGGGATAATCTTTTTTATATATAGCAATCTTTAGTTATTTTTCTTAGATAAGGATCAACTTCTTGGTAAAGTTAATAACTATATATAGGAATAAAAAATAAATACTAAATTGTTGGTATAGCTGGTTTTTTCTTGCTTCGCCATGGTCTTTGAATTTCTGGAAATAGTGATAATTTTATATTTTAGATCACGTCACATATTCATTCATTGTCAGTTGTTCCAGGTCACACGCTCTTTTCAGGATATCAAGGCAAGAATGATAATGGAAATTGTAAACCACTTTTAGTAGGAAGACTTAATTCTCTACCCTCATATAATTTCATATGTTATAGCTCAAATATAATAATTTCCTTCCATATATTTTTGGTTATATTGTATATTTATATGTTCTTTGCAGACACATCCTTTTATTTATGATGCAGCATGTGGTCTGAGATTGTCATTTCATGCCATTTCAGGATCTTCTTTTTCTGGCTTGCAGTCATCCAGAAAATAGAAGTAGTCTCACTAGCATGGCAGAATGGCCAGAGTGGTTGTTGGAGGTCTTAATATCAAATTATGAGGTAACTTTGCATCCTTAAATAGTTCCTCTGTGGCAACATTTGCTAAGGCATACAAGTTATCTTGTTGGTCAGAGGCAAGCTCATGCTTATGTTTATTTATACTTTCTTGATGCTATGTAGCTTTTCAGATGCTGTCCTTGAGGTTGTGATGTTTTTGAGTTATTTGACCATGACTTTTGCAGATGGGTTCAAATAAAGACTCCAATGGTGTAAGTCTTGGTGAGCTAGAGGACCTCATACATAACTTTCTCATAATCATGTTAGAACATTCAATGCGCCGAAAAGATGGATGGAAGGTAATGTTTCTTCACTGATCAACTTTGTTTCACTGCTCATTTCTTTTGTATATTTTTCATAACTAGACTAAGTGTTCCTTCTTTAAGGAGTGCATGACAATGTGTTTTATAGTCGGTTGAGATCAGTCATGCAGAAAATATTCAATGACACATTTAATTGGCCATTTCAATGTTGAATATGCTCTGTGACTTATTGAGCTAGTAGTAGTAATGACTTGGAGCTTAGTTGATGAGCTACCTGCATGTGGTAGGAGAGAAATGTCTAGAAAAATGACAAATGACATGAGTTGAATCAAGAATTTAAGCACCATCAGCAGATCTTATTCAGATAAACATCTGAAAATAACATATGCCATTGGCAAGTTACATCACATTGCTTATGGTTGCCTGTGCATATATGGTTTGGAAGAGGAGTGCGGTTTAGCTTTCCTGAAAACCAAATCAAGGATTCAAATGTTGGTTGAATACCAGCTTTGGTAATCTATGAAATTGGTACTATATTGGCACACCAGAAGGTAAACCAACTTGTACCAGTCAGTACATATTGTTGTGGTATCAAGCTATATATTTTTAAATCTGTAGGTACATGCCTGTCTGACCAGTATTTAAATTCTTGCATGAAATATTATGGGACCCAATGCCATTAGGTCTATATTAGAGTGAAGCAAGTAGTGTCTTCGTTTGATAAATTTAAAGGTCTATTGTCCGGTCATGTCTAGCATATCTTTACAAAGTTCATGTTGAAATTATTTAAATTTGTTTCCATATTTGAGGTTCGCTATCCTGTTTCATTTCCCAGAAAGGTGTAAAAAGGTCAAGCGTATCTAATTGTAGGTCTGTCAGTAGTAATAATTATATATGCTGATAGATATGAGAGTCTTGGTACCATTTTTTTATTGAATAGGTATATTTCTTTATTATAGATGGCATAAAATCAACCTTGATGCATCCCCAACTTGCCTAAGAAACTAGCTTGTAAATTTAAGTTTACAGTCAAAATTATTCTATGCAAGTGAGGTGGAAAAGGCAAGTCTATGTTGAAAAAGCTGAATATTAACTGAGAAATATAGTTATGTTGTATACTTGTATGCGCATTTTGTGGATGCTATTGAGGCATTATAGCTTTACATGTTCAAGATTGATGCATATACTTTTATCTCTTATAATCAATGTTTGGTATCAATTGGTGATTCATTGTCCCTGCCTTGAGATTAAGCAGGTAAGTTAGAGATGCAACCGTAATGTATCAAGTTGGTTGCCTTTAGTGCAAGATTATGCACTTTACTCTTCTTGAAGTTTCTAAGCTTTTCTTGGAAGAACTCATGCACTTGTAACTTCCTAATCTGTTACCTTGATGAACTCTTTTTTTCTTTGGTGACAAATATGCTTTGTTTATGGTGGAATTTTCTTTGGATTCATTCCTAACTTATAGTTCATATATATCGCATTTCTTCTTTCTCCTTTTCAGGACATAGAATCTACCATTCATTGTGCAGAATGGCTGTCAATGGTTGGGGGATCTAGTACAGGTGACCAACGAGTCAGGTAGCTGTTATTACTGCGAAATTTTTATCTTATAATCGAACGTAACAGATTTGCTTTTATACAAATTTTTTGTCACTTTTGGTTTTGAGAAAATGCAGATCTAGAAAACTTTGACATGTTTAATTAAATGCTGGCATCTTTTCTTTTGTCTTTCTTTCAACCAGAAATACATGAACCTGGTTTTAATATACCTGACTATATGTATAAATTGGTTAACAGGAGAGCTGTGTATTTGTGTCAAATTAGGGTATGCTCCCACTGAGATTAGGGGGTCTTTTTTTCATGAATAAATAGTTTTTTCACATAATATATCTATAAGTTCATTTTTTGAATATAACCGTAGAATAGTGGATTGTTTATGGAACTATTTGAGCTCTATTTGCAATATCCCTTATTAACTTTGTTTTATACTTGAAGACGTGAAGAGTCCCTGCCTATCTTTAAAAGAAGGCTATTGGGTGGCTTGCTAGATTTTGCAGCTAGGGAGCTTCTAGTTCAGGTAATATTTGATTCTTTAAAGTGAATTTTTTAATATTCTCTATGAATTGCTTGACTGACTTATGAAATTGTTGTATTTATTAACTGGACAATTTTCTGGATGTGAGTATTGAATATAAACTTTTAAGTCAAACGTTTCTCTCTACTCACATTATCTTGATATCTATATTATGTGGAGAATATAAATTGGCAGATAATTGTCATTTTATTCCCTGTTGTTTCCTTAAACCACTGAATGAGTGTTTCAGTCTTGCTAAGTCATCTATCTTTTAAGCCTTGAAGAGATTTTAGCTTTATTATTATTTTAAACAGCAAAAAATGACATGATTCTTACCTGTATTACTTTGATGATTGTCCATTCTCACAGCATGTGCATTAATATTTGGTGACTGATTTCTAATCAGGTTTAGAATCTTCAGTTGGTGATATGAGTTTGTCATTCTCATGGATTAAAATAACTTCTGTATGGTTTGGGATTTACTGGTTTAACAACCACCCGGGATGCAAACTGGGCTATTTCTTCTGCATCTGTCTAGTACAGGATGTACTGCTGTGTAAATTTATCATATGGGGCTTTGGGAACTTAATGAGCAGTAAGCAGATCAGTGCCAAACTAATGCCATCAACTCTTTTTTAAACATTTTTAACAGCTGCCGCAACTTTTTCCTTATTATTCTTATTTATTATTATCTCTCTTTTCCCTGCCATCACAACCTCCTCCCTGCCATGTACACCACATCCTTTTTTCTTCTCGTGGTTTGTCTCCTCAGCATCCATGCCTTATCCTGCTCCTCATCCTCCTTGTCTCTTGTCTCTCTCATGCAGTCTCTCTCTCTGTGTGGTCTGGGTGGCACCATTCAGTACTGATCCATATTGTATTAGACTACAATGCACCACACCGCTACTCCATAGGTCTGAATTTGATTGTCACCTTGCTGTTAGTTATTAGATTCACTTGTTATCTTAGAACTTTGATCAAAAGTGTCAGATGATTGTGATATGGGTCTTTCTGTTCAACTTTAGATATGAGATTTTTCTGGTGAGTGATGGCTCTCTGTGTGAAACACTTGAAACATCTTGGTATTTGGTGGTCAGAAAAAGGGAAAAATATAGAAGAAAATAAGATCAAATTAGGGATATTAGATCAACAAGATTAATCACCAAAGATACTTGCATGGATAGATCACCCAACTATAGCTATCCATTATTCTTATAAAATTTGAGAGAAGAAACCTTAAGTACCAACTTTTTTTTCTGAGTGATTGCAAAATCAAACTAGATTTTAGAAAGAAAGTAACATACCTGGATCTCATGACTGCCTGCTTTATCAATGTATATATACTTCTGTAAAGGATGGACACTCATGCTTGAGGAAGAGAAGCACTACACTTGCAGAAGATGAAGAGGTTTTGGGCTGTGCAACAAAAGAAAATTGTGATGATTTATTGGTTGGTTCTGCTGAATTCTGAAGTTGATATTTGAAGCAAGGTTTAATATCTAGGTTCTGAGCTTATATGGTCCACAGCTGGACTGGCATGGACCTTGATGTGCCAACAATCAGTATGAGTTGGTACCATTCATTGGAGGGTAAGGAGAAAGCGGGTGAAGCTTATGCTTGTGTTTTTTTCTATGGCGGCCCTAGAATGTCCACAAATCTTTTCTTAGTTTGGCTTTTCTTTGGACCATTTTTTTTTGTTTTGCTTTTCATATAGAATGTGTCATAATTTTTCAATGAGTTCTAAGATTGTGCTAATTTTCTTTCAATAAGGTTAGTGTTTTAGATCTCATTTCTATGTTACACACTTTCTTATTTCTGGTTCTCTTCTCTATATCCTTTCTGCTATACTACTATGTTAGTATTCTATTGTTATTGATAGTGAAATTTAATGCTTTACTCATTCAGTTTATGCAAACTGTATCTCGTTGCTGTTATTTTGGAAGAAATGCTGAAGCCATGTTTTCATAACTCATCTTGTTGATGTCACTAGAAATTGCAAAATTGTCACTTTAATTACTTCACCCAGCTTGTCTTTCCGGCAGACTCAAATTATTGCAGCAGCGGCTGCTGGTGTTGCTGCTGAGGGCTTGTCACCACTAGAAGCTAAAGCAGAAGCAGAAAATGCTGCACATCTTTCAGTTGCTTTGGCTGAAAATGCAATTGTTATTCTGATGCTTGTAGAAGATCATTTACGTTTTCAAGGACAGCTATTTGTTTCAGCCCGTGCAGCTGACAGCATTGGGTCCCCTGCTTCTTTGACCTCAGCTACTATTAGTCGCACAAATTCTATAGGTAGAACTGGTAGTGAACCTGTGGATAATATTCCCTCGAAGAGGTCATCATTGTCCAGTGATGCCGGAGGTCTTCCCCTTGATGTATGCACACTACTGTATATTCTTGTTTCATATTTTGATGTGCTGGATTCATATTCAATATTTCTTCTTTATTTTAATACACTTTTTGGTTGAGATACTTTTGTAAGTTTAGTTCCAAACCATTTGTTATGATCTTTGCAAGCAATGGCTGGATGATATGCGCTATAGACCCTAACATGCAAGGTGGATGCAAAAGACATGTTGATTACTTTCTTCATGTAATAAGTCATTTGTACATTTTGATCTTGTTGATCAACTTAAAAAACAATTTCTCCATGTTTTTGCTTTTGACACAACTTTTCAACTTCATAATGGTATTAGATTGCTTCCTGGAGGCCTGTTTGTGATGGTGATCTGTAACCTTCCGATATTCCCTAGTGACCTATACCCATTTCTTAGGAGCAAATCATGAGGAGGAGATTGATGAAGGAAAAAGGAAGAAGAAAGAATGAAGATCAAGCTGATCATATAAAAAAGAAGGAAAATGCAAAATTAGTTGGAGAAGGAGTTCAAGAAATGAAGTGGGAAAAATGAAAAGAAAAGGTAAGAAAAAGAATAGGAAGCTATAGTAATTCATTTTGTTGCCATTAGGACAAACAATGAGTGCTTGAGAACAGAGGCCATGAGGAGACTAGATGGTTCAAAAATTTGTAAATGTGTTTTAGCGCATTGAGAACTGATTGCTAATGGTCTCAATTCAATGCTTAGCTTACAGCTTATGTTCAAAATGTGGTTGTAGGCTTTGTATGACCTGATATTCCTATTTGAATGTGTTAAGAACTAGTTCTTTTACAGCCTTCCATTACAGAGTTATGTTTGTTTTGCTTGTTCTATCTCAACTGCGTATGCATCAATGTTATCTATTACCAAATTCTATCTGAACTATTTCATTTGATTATGGCATTTTGTTCCTAATCAGGTTCTTGCTTCTATGGCTGATGCAAACGGACAAATTTCTGCAGCAATTATGGAGCGCCTTACGGCAGCTGCTGCAGCGGAACCTTATGAATCTGTTCGATGTGCATTTGTATCTTATGGTAGCTGTGCTTTAGATCTATTGGAGGGTTGGAAGTACAGGAGTAGGTTGTGGTATGGTGTTGGCCTTCCCTCAAAAGCAACAGCTTTTGGTGGTGGAGGAAGTGGCTGGGAATCTTGGAATGCTGTTCTGGAAAAAGACTCAAATGGAAACTGGATTGAACTTCCATTAATGAAGAAATCCATAGCGATGCTTCAAGCACTTCTGTTGGATGAATCTGGAATTGGCGGTGGTCTCGGTATTGGTGGTGGATCTGGAACTGGAATGGGAGGAATGACAGCACTTTACCAGTTGTTGGACAGTGATCAGCCATTTTTATGCATGCTCCGGATGGTTCTTGCAGCAATGAGGGAGGATGACAACGGTGAAGATGACATATTTATGAGGAACATTAGCATTAAGGACGGCATTTCTGAAGGATTAATTTATCGTAGTGGGAACCTCATGCCATTTGATAGTAGCAATCGTTTGCCAGCAAGGAAACCCCGCTCAGCACTTCTTTGGAGGTATGGTTTCTTAAGATATTATTTCTGTTATTCTTGTATATAATACATATCTTTTAACATGTAAAATAAATTCACATTGTTAAGGTCAATGAAATCTTTGTTTAGTATGAGATAATTGGCTAACTTGTTAGTCTTACTACAGGATTTAATTGTTTGAGACCTTTATACTCTTGTTGCCTTTTTCTATGATTTGGTAGGTCCTTGAGAATGACTTTATCATATCATTGATCGTATATGACCATACTATCATGGTACTATCCAGGTCAAGGAGAATTGACCTATTAGGAGTTAACATATTTCAACTTTATTGCATAAATAGAAAACGAGTTCCAAGATTCAACCTCTAGGGCTTGCAATATATGATGTAGTGAAAATTAAGATGAATTATGAGTGAAGAGTGCTTTTCTTGGAAACCAATTAAATACACGTCCAGAACTTTATAAACATGACTCTTAATTGCTAAGTATTCTGTCTTCCGATTTATAATCAGTATAGGGTTGATCATGTGGGACCAAAAGATAAAAATACAACTAAATATATGCCTCTAAACACGATCCAAAATAACAACTGAAGAGATGGATGAAAATATATCTGGAATAATAAAAAAGGAAACCTGACAAAATGCATATATTTACGAGCAGGGGAGTGGTTTACGTTGGATCTTTGTGATGGGGTGGTTTGGGATTAGATGATTTTGTAACAATTTGTGATCTGAAGTGAATCAATAGCCTTTTCAGTATCTGAATGTAAATTTAGTGGATATGATTATCGGCATTTGCACCAACTGTTGATTTGTTTCATTCTGTAGTGAAACTTTAGCGAATATTTAGAACTTATGGTACTATATTAGTATATTTGATGGTATAGAAACCTATAAGGCATAAACTATACAGTTGATGTTAGATGCAATATATCTATCATTTGATGCTCGATGTTCATTTTTTAAAATTTCTAATATGATTTAAACCATTTATTGGATTGCATTTTCCTAGTAGGTTACTATGACTTGCTTACGTGAAAAGAGTAGCATTTTTGCTTAGTTCTTGTGCCAAAAAATTAATTGTCAACCTTTTTCTATAAATTGAAATTATTTTCCATGACACCACGCATATGATGCCTCAATTATGTGGTAATGTTTTAAAGAAGCTTGAAATCATATTGCAGTATTATGGACTCAGTATCTGTCATATCTTGGTACATAAAGTCAAGGTATGCAATTTCGTACCGTATCGAAGTTTCGACGTTCGCTTGGTATGGTACGAAACTGTATACAGAACAGTATACCGTTCGGTATATATATATATATATATATATATATATATATATAATTCGTTGACGTCACCTCGTTTATATATATATATATATATATAATTTATATATAAAAGATTATGTATATATTTATATATATATATATATTTTTATAAAAGGCGATGTCGGCCTTTCCTTCTCCCACGCGGGGCGACGTTGCCGAGGCGATGCGACATCGCCTCGTTTATATATATATATATATATATGTATGTATCGTTCCGTCCATAACGGGCGGTCCGTATACCGGTAAGCTGATGGACTGGTATGTACCTCCCGTACTGGATGGTATTATTTGAAATTGCATACCTTGCATAAAATTATGTTGCATATTAAAGAGTCTTTGCATGTTAAATTTGGTATAGACATGGCACGGTGTTGTATGGTACCATGCCATCCTGTGATTTGCAGAAGTTATGTTGTTGGACATTTTTTTGTTGGTACTTCTTCAATTGATGATTTCTATCCATGTTCTTTTTTTGGGAATTATCTTTTGGCCTCTCATAATGACCATTTTTATTGATCATGATTTGAGGAATCCTATGGTTGTCTATGGAATGTGTATCTGTAGTCATAGTTTGTAAAATTGGTCCAGGGATTGGGATCACAATAATATCCAGATTGGATGGGGTCAGTAGATCAGTAGGATTGTGATTCGTCGGGAAAGTTATTAAAGTACTGTGTGTATATAAAATCATCCAAATTATTTTAAAAATATAAGATAAAATTTATGAAAATAAAATTATTGGTTCTTTTACCTTCATATTCATAAAAATATCTAACTTTTAAAGATCATGAAATTGAATAAATGATAAAATGTGGTATGAAATATAACAATGAAAATACTGGAGATGAATTTATCAAGAAGTATTTACTAATATAAATATATCTTCACACATAAATGATCTGAGATGTTTATTAAGTTGACACTATATCTTGATGAAGTGGGCCTTTACCACTTTACCTACGTGATGTTTTGTGATATCAGGTATAAATATACATAATGCTCTCTCTCGTGTTTCTTGTTTAGACAATTTGTGCTAATAGATTCTTTTCTTTGCAGTGTACTTGCACCAATACTGAACATGCCAATATCTGAATCCAAGAGACAGAGGGTTTTGGTTGCATCTTGCATTTTGTTTTCAGAGGTCAGCAAAAGCTCTCTATTTTACTGCATTTCTGTGCTAGTAAATTTGTGGTCCACATTTTAAATCTGACTATAGTTTCTTGTGTCTATACTGTACCGGGTTCTACTAAAATACTAATCTGCAGATTACTTGCTCCTCTCTTAATCCAGTGTTTCAATAGATTTGACTATCATTGAAGTGTTTATTAATTAGAGCTTCTCATTATTACTTTTGGTTTTATAGGGAGTTATCCTTGTAGTTCGATTTCCATACTCTACCTATGTGCATTATCGGTGCTTCCTCAAGTGTTTGATGGATAAAAGTTACTAACGGTAAATGGTATACGATAAGAGTATCTTTGATGCTGTATAATGCCTGCAGTTTTTTGTCAAAAATAGTACTGAATTTGCCTTGATACAAGTTATTATTTGAAGAATTTGTAATTAGATGGGCAGGATATGAGGTGTATCTGATGTTTAGATTAGGATATTGTTCAACTAAAGTTCCATGCTTACTATGTATTTATTAGCATCAATTTTCCTTGACTTTTTGTTTTGTCAGTTATTGTTTTTTCACATTGTGAGTACACATACAATTTTGCTCTCAAACAAAAGTACCGTTCTATTTAAATTCTAATGGTGCAGGTCTGGAATGCCATTGGAAGGGATAGAAAACCTGTCAGAAAACAGTACGTCGAAGCCATTTTGCCACCTTTTGTTGCTATTCTCAGGCGTTGGCGACCACTTTTGGCTGGTATACATGAATTTACTTCCTCGGATGGTCAAAATCCCCTCATTGTCGATGATCGGGCTTTGGCTGCTGATGCACTGCCTCTTGAGGTGCTTTTGTTAGCTGTACCGAATTCTCATACTTAGAAGCCTGAGATTCAATTTGTAAATAAAATTTTGAGGAAACTAATTATAAAATTTTCAGTTTGCACTGCATGACTGTCCTAGTCAATTACATTTATTAGGCTACTCTTTTTAAATTCATATTTCGCATAATTGGTACTGAAGCAACTAATGTCATTGCAGGCTGCTGTTTCAATGATGTCACCTGGTTGGGCTGCTGCTTTTGCATCACCTCCTGCTGCAATGGCACTAGCAATGATTGCTGCTGGTGCTGCTGGTGGGGAAGTTGTTGTAACACCTATTAAAAATACACCGCTTAGGCGTGATACGTCCCTATTTGAGCGAAGGCAAACTAGACTACATACCTTTTCAAGCTTTCAAAAGCCTCCTGAAACAGCAAACAAGTCTCCACCTGTCCCAAAAGACAAAGCAGCTGCAAAAGCTGCTGCTTTGGCTGCTGCACGTGATCTCGAACGAAATGCTAAGATAGGTTCTGGAAGAGGTCTTTGTGCTGTAGCAATGGCTACTTCAGCACAAAGGAGAAGTCAAAGTGATTCTGAGCGTGCCAAGCGATGGAATATTTCTGAAGCCATGGGTGCTGCTTGGAATGAATGCCTTCAATCAGTTGATTCAAAAACAGTTTCAGGGAGAGACTTCTCTGCACTCTCATATAAATATGTTGCAGTGCTTGTAGGAAGTTTTGCTTTAGCAAGAAACATGCAGCGGGGTGAGGTATGACTTTACTGCTAATTCATGAGATGTACTTCACAGTTGCATTGTGTACTAAAATTCGTGGACTTGCAGATGGATAGGCGACTACAAGTTGAGATATTGGATAAGCACCACTTATCCATTGGTAATCGGGCATGGAGAAAACTTCTTCACCGTTTGATAGAGATGAGTGGACTTTTTGGACCTTTTGGAGACTCCCTATGTAACCCTAAGCATGTATGTCCCATCAAGTTTCCTAGACTTTAATGATCTCGTTGATCTCTTCTCTTTAAAATTGTACTGCATGTTTTATTTAATATCATTTATCGTCAGATATAAAATATTCATTACTATTGTGATTTTAGCAGGCGACTTTTTTGTCCCTCTGAAAACATGATATAATGTTGCATTAATTTTTTCAATATGCAGGTCTTTTGGAAGTTGGATTTCACAGAAAGTTCTTCTAGGATGAGACAATACTTGAAAAGAGACTATAATGGTTCTGACCATCTAGGTGCAGCTGCTGATTATGAAGATCGATTGCAAATCAAACTTGGTGAAGAATCAAATGTACATGAAGAAAATAATCAAGATGCTTCACTAAGTAAAAACTTCGCTTCCAATGCTTCCATGATAATGGCAGAGGCAATATCTTTGGAAGAAAGAAATGAGGATGATGAGCAAATGGATACTGCAATTAGTGAGAGCAATAACAATAATCAACAGAAAGAATCTTTCACTACTGAAAAGGGTTCAATAGATCCTAGAAGTTCTGGAACTTCTAATGATCATAGTTTGGTTCAGTCCACTTTTGTGGATTCCCCTGGTTATGTGCCTAGTGAATCTGATGAAAGAATTATTGCTGAACTTCCATCGCTAATGGTTCGGCCACTAAAGGTTGTGCGAGGAACCTTCCAGGTATAATCAACTTGAGGCATTATGCTTTGATATTGACTGCTCTAGGAATTGTTGCTGCAGACTCAAATATTCATTATGGTCAAAAGTCCTGGTGTTAAAATGCTGTTTCTACTTAGCTTCAAGATCTCTATCTTGTCTATATTTCTGTTACTCAATTATTCTTGGAGTAGGAGTGTAGGACCATTAAGGATATGTGCAAGTGTAGTTGGTTGCAGTTTGGATATTCTTGCAAAATCTAGAGGATTATTTAGGGTTATATATTCTGCATTAATTGACATGTGAGACAGGAGATTGCAATATCCCAGCAGTTCCACACTTTGAAGTAATTTAAAATTTTAATTGTATATATGACTCAATCAATCTACTAATAATATGAGATGGGTTCGTTTGTCATAGCTTTAGGATAATGGCTGCATTTGGGTTATCACATACATAATCTTAATTTACCAAAGCTACACAGTTGGTGAATCTTGACCTCCTCATTTCCTCCCAAATTATGCTCTAGTTAGACACAAGGGCACATGAGGTTCCCGACAATGCAGGTCTAACAGGGTCAACTTATGCAACCTTTGGTGGTTCATCTATTTTTTTCCATATTCTATGGATATATGCTGGCCAAGTACTTATGCATATGTAAATGTATATAGATATTTCTGCTCTGTCCAATGTTTTATCCCTGAAGCTTTCTTATTGTCCGAGGACAGAATTCTGAAAAGCATGCCATCTGGACTAGTGCTTGAAGTTTCAGATTGTTGTGTTTTCTGTATCTATTCCATTTTTTTATAGTTTCTTTTTCTCCCTCTAGATAATGTTTTATCATAGTCGTAGTTCTATCTAAATTCCAAATTATGTTGCCTTAAACCTGATAGTGTATCAACACTTCAGATGAGAACTTCTATATTAATTTATCTGGTTGTTATTTCTTATCCTTGGTTCTTAGCGTTGAGATCTTTACATATCTTGCAGCATTTTTGGTAATGTTGTTGACCATTAATATGCTGTAAGTTACATGTAATACTTCTGAATCTGATTTTTAGGTAACGACCAAGAGAATTAATTTCATTATAGATGAGCGAACCAGTGATGCTTCCTTAGAGGATGGGGTGGGTGCTTCTAGTCAATGTAATGAGCAGGAGAAGGATCGAAGCTGGTTGATCTCATCTATTCATCAAATGTTTAGCAGAAGGTATGTGATTTTCTGTTATATTTTCTCTTTGTCATGCGTTTTATACGTATTTATCATTTGTTATTGCTTTCTTGTTTTTGGATTATTTGCATCTTCCTTGATGAAATATGTAGTTGGATCTCATGATTTGTTATAGATGTTTGAACAAGCCCTTCTATGTAGTGGTAACTGTGAACAAATTGAAAATTTCTAATAGAATTTCCTTATATATGTGATGGGCGAGATTCTTGATGGAACTATTTATTATTCAGGAAATTGTACTGTTCATGATGTATATAACTAGTTCAATCGATCGACCGGTACCGGTCTGTCCAAGGACTGATATGGCTGGTCGGTTCGAGACAACAAAACTTGGTATATATAGTAGTCTAATTAAGATTATCCAATGCTGATTGCATTTTGTATAGAATTACTATTGGAAATGAGTTAGATATTGGCGAAAGTGCACTTTAGAAGGTTGTTTTAGATGTTTTACGGTGAGAACTTTTGACTCATGAAGAGTGACTGAATGTAGATGCAAAAAATTGGTGTCTTGATTGCACTTTTCAGAAGTCGAAGAGGTCGTTTCTATTGTAGTAAAATAATTGTTTATTTTATAGATTTATTAATATGAAACTGCTTAAATAGTTGTTGGCAAGAAATTTTTTTTCGTTATTCTATGTCCTCCATGACTACTGATTATCTTCTAATTACATCCTGCTCTTTGCTGTATCAAGGAATTAAATCTTCATATTGGTACCTGTATGTATCGGTTCCCTATCATACGAATAGAGTGAAAATAACCTTCTGGTAGATGTTGTGCTGAATTTCTAATCAGGGAAAATAAAAAATGGAGTGCAAAAGAAATTGTACTAACCTTCTTTCTTTGTCTACCTTGATGTGTTGAGGCTGCATATCCGTCATCTCTCTCCTCCACTTTGTCTTCTTTTTTATTTTTTGTCACCACTGACTTGTTGCATCCTAGGAACAGAAAGGGATTGTGAGAAATGCCTTAGCCTGATGTGTTCAAACAAGCCTTGACTGATTCTTTTTTTATAGAATTATTTGGGCTTAATCCAATCAAAGCCAATCAGATTATTGCCAAAAAAAAGTTTTTATGGGTTTTCTGTACACCAGACTGGTTTACATTAATTCACAATCTGATTCAGCACCAGAGCTGTAAGTGCAGCATGTATCTGGCTTTATTACCATGGTATCTAATCCATGCTAGAGACAGTTGAATGTGTTTCCCACTTTTTGGTTGATGTATATATGCTTTACTCTTTGCTGTTTGATCTATATTTAAGTTGCAAAATTTCTAGACTTGTAGCTTCTATGTTCTAGAAGCTTTTAGCATATTTACAGTATTTTTCATTTCTTTTTCCTGCAGATATCTTCTTAGAAGGAGTGCTTTAGAACTGTTCATGGTTGATCGTTCAAACTTTTTTTTTGATTTTATGGTAATATTATTTTTTCTCTCTAATTTTAATATGTATTAGAATTGATCTTGCTATAAGGATCATGTTCTGGCTATGTTTGGTTTATTACAGAGTACTGAAGGGCGCAAAAATGCTTATCGTGCAATCGTTCAATCTCGTCCTCCTCATTTAAACAACGTCTATCTTGCTACACAAGTATGTGTGCTGCTTGCTTCTGAAATATTTACTACTTGTGATATTGTGGTCATTATGGCTTACTGTTCTACATTTATGATTCCAGAGGCCTGAACAAATTCTTAAAAGAACTCAGCTCACAGAACGTTGGGCACGCTGGGAGGTAAAATTATTTATTAGATATATTTATGTTTCTTGACTTGGTTTCAGTAGTGTGTATGCATTAAAGTTATGTTCTGCAATTACACTTTCATGCAGATTAGCAATTTTGAGTATCTAATGGAACTAAACACCCTGGCTGGGCGGAGTTACAATGACATCACACAGGTCAAATTTCTGAAGTGTTTTAAGAACTGCTTTTAATCATTCTTTTAGTGAATTTATGATATTTGTTGCCCACTGCAGTATCCTGTTTTCCCCTGGATTCTAGCAGATTATTCTTCTAAGACACTGGATCTTGAGGATCCTGCAACATACAGAGATCTTTCAAAGGTAGATTAGTTATTTATCTTTCTGGATTTTGTTTCCTTTTGTTTGAAATTAGTGCTATGTGAAGGACTAAAATACACTCAATGTTGCAGCCTGTTGGAGCGTTAAATCCTGAAAGACTAAAGAAGTTCCAAGAGAGGTACTCCAGTTTTGATGATCCTGTCATCCCCAAATTCCACTATGGCTCTCATTATTCTAGTGCGGGAACGGTAACTTATATTTTATTTGTTTTTCTTTTTTCCTGTGATTCCATTCCCATTCATTATTTGGCTCTCATATGGTTATCTTGTCTTGTGATATGCATATGCACCCTTTGTTTCCTTGTCTTTGTTGTAATATAAAATTTGAACATGCAGATTTTGTACCTTTATTTTTAATGTATGCATTATTTTTCATCTCAACCATGCATTGATTGCTAATGAAGTTTGAATGTCTTAAATTTTGTATGTTGAACTGTTAGGTAAAAGCTTTAGAGAATCCACATGTGCCATTCTAACTAAAAAGCTACTGCACTGCATTTTAGTTTCATTCATTAATCACTGAGGTTTACTTAGCTGACGTTATGCAGTAAACTGTAAGATCCCAAGTGTTTCTCCTATCATTGATCTTTGTAGTCTCTTGGTTCAGGGTAATAATTTTACCTGAAAGCTTCAAGCTTCTCCAGTTCTAGTTATTCCGTGAATAATTATTTCATGTTGACCGTGCCTTATTAGCTCGTGTTGATTGCCATAGAAAGGTATTAGGAAGATGGCAGAAGGAATCCAATTCAAACTGCTCAGAAGGCAAAACAAGGGAACTGTCTGCAAAAGAGATAGGGACTCCTGGTACTAATACGAAGGTGAAAACTGCTACAAACAAGAGGGACTAAAACTCCCCCAAGAGTTGACAGTGAACTTCTAATGGATGATTAAGCAAACTCCCTAGCACTTCCAATTCCAAAATAGGGCAATAAAGAAGGTGAACAATACAGTGAAGTGTTCGCACTGCTGGTTGGCTTTAGAATGTAATGGTGCAGCCTGGATTGACATACCTTCTTTCTATTTCATTTACATATATACAATGGGAAGACATTTCTCTATTTCTAGAACCAGCAAAAGGGTAAGACAGCTAGGGAAATCAGCCTATCTTTCTCATTTTGAATGGTTTTAAAATGGAATCAATCCCACACTTCATAAGAGGCTGCAGCTTGTACTTCATAGATGTCTTGGATAAAGTAGCTTTTATTTGTGTTGTTGCCCAAATTGTAAAAGTAGTTTTGCCTTTTATTTGTTAGTATCTAGTTGCATTCCGAGCCAGGTTTTCAATTTTGGGTATCGGCCTCATGCTAGTCTATAGCCAGACTGGTGTGGTTACAGTCCCTTCTGGCATACCGACCCTGGAATATATTGCAGTACTGCTGAGACAGGGAAACAGGGGAAGAAGAAGGAAAAGAAAAGAAGGAAAAGGGAGTAGGAAGAAGGAAGAAGAGGAGGATGAAGGAAGAAGAAGAAGCAAACGAAAGAAGGAAGAAGGAAGAAGAAGAGGCAGTGGTGTAGGAAGAGCTGTATCGGAGGGGGCAGTGGCAGGCATGCATGCAGCGACAGTGAAGAGGAAACTTGCAAGGAGTCGCATGACTCCTTGCGAGCCCCAATGCTCGCTGGCCATAGCATCGTGATAAATAAAAACCCTATAAGTAAATCATCACGACTCCTCACTAGCCCTAGGTAGCTTGACTCCTCGCAAGCCAGAGCATCACACTTAAAAATGAACCCTTTTAAGCAAACTGTATTGGACTGTGTAGTTTTAAGCAGTCCAGTTCCTGGTTGTTGGACCAGTAAATAACAATATTCATATCTTCAAGAATGCAAACTTATCTAGTCAAATTAGTCATAGAAGCTTGTTACTGGCCGAACTGGGAAAAATTAAAGACCTTGATTCTGAGTTATTTCTCTATCAAGTAAAATTGTTAAGAAAGCATTTAATCTGTGTTGCTACCTACTTCTAAGCCCTTCCTTGCTATAGATCTAGATTTTTTTTTATCCTTTTTCTACTTAAGGTCGTCTAAACATCAAGCAGCATCAAAGAGAAAAGAATCACCCTGTCCATAAAAAAGATTCTTGTTGTCAAGCTGAAATTGACTTGCCAATTCTTTTTAATTTGGGTGGGGAGACTTTGCAGGGGTATTGCTGCCTCAATCAGTAAAGAAAAGGCTGAATGTAAGAGGTGGTTTTGCTGGCAAGTCTGCTTAATCACTTTCTTCTACATTTCCATCAACTTCCCCTCTCTGGTCTTCTTTTTTCTAACAATCAATTGTGTCCCAGCTATTCTTCCTCATGTTTTGTGATGCTTTCATCCTTGAACTATCAGTAAGAATTCTTTATAAGAAATTTATCTGTGTTAAAGGAGAATAGTTTTTATCTTGGGTGAGCCTTTTATGCCAATTAAGCTAGACAGAAAGTCATTCACTCTTTCAAGATTTCAGCTACTTGTGAACATGTGATAAGATTTGAAGGACCAGTTACAATGTTTGGCATGGATGACACGGACACATTATTTTGTAGTTTTTGTTCTGCTGATAAGATGACATGGACACAAAAAATAGTTTGTAGTTTTTAGATTTATATCATCATAAAGGTTTTATAAGTCTGAAATTGTTCATATATTAGAAGAAATAATAAAATAAGCACAAATCTCATATATATTAGGATCATTCAGTTGAAGGATATTTGATTTTTTTAAGGTAGTTAGGTTCATAGGATATATTGCAGAAGATATGTCTTTACCAACAGATTTCAGTGAAATTTAAGTTGTACCTGCCTAATGTTAGTGCATTTTTATGGCTTACATGTTGGTCAACCCTTGAAAGTCAGTGTGTCGTAATTTTTCATATATAGTCTAAATTCTGCTGTATGATTAAAATATTAATTGAAAATTCTTTATTTTTTTTGTAATTTCTCTGTTGACCATATTTTAAATTATAAGTATGGGAAAGAAAGTATTTGTGTACCTCATTTCCATCCTTTGTTGAATGCTTTTCAGGTTTTGTATTACCTTGTTAGAGTGGAGCCATTTACCACTCTTTCTATTCAACTACAAGGTGGCAAATTTGACCATGCTGATCGTATGTTTTCTGATATTAGTGGTACTTGGGATGGTGTACTTGAAGATATGAGTGATGTGAAAGAGTTGGTAATCTATTTATGTGCATGAAATATTAATCTTTTCTTCTATATTTGTTAGTATTTCTCCCTGTGGTCCAAAGTTTATAAGCCTTTGTGCATCTGAGCTATCTTTCTTTTTTTTCAATTTGTTGTTACTGTTAGGTTCCAGAAATGTTTTACCTCCCTGAGGTACTAGTCAATGTGAATTCCATTGATTTTGGAACAACTCAACTTGGAGGAAAATTGGGTAAGTGCTTTACTTCTCCAAGCGTTCATGCCAAATGACGCACTCTGCAAAGTAGTGAAATTCAACTTGATTCGTTTGCTGCAGATTCTGTGAAATTACCTCCTTGGGCTGATAGCCCTGTTGATTTCATCCATAAGCATCATATGGCTCTTGAAAGTGAGCATGTATCTTCTCACTTACATGAGTGGATTGACCTCATTTTTGGGTATGTTGTTCAAGCAGACACCTCCTCAGTTTTATGCTTGATGCAGTTCTACGTTTACTGCCTGTGCTCTTTTTCATAATTTCCTGTTGTTCAAGATCACCAGGATTCCTTGTGTGATAATTGACTGGCATGAAGCCGTGATATCTTAGGAGGTTCCATGCCAATTTTAGAATGTGCGTCACATCATATACTTATAGGGACCAACCAATATGAGCCTTAAACATCACAAATCTGGAATGACAGGTTTTTCGGGTTCTAAGTACCATCAATAAGCAGTAGTCCTGAAATAAGTGCTTACACTAGCCCTTTTAATGGCACTTTATATATACAATAGGCTTCGCCCTTTTGTTGGTCCTGAAGACTTTTCTGACTCTTGCTCTGACTTTTTTCCAAGATGTTTCAGTTTCTAAATTTCTTAGTTCTCCAGTTATACATAATAGAGAGTCTTAGTATTTACTGAAGTGTTTGCTTCTGTATTTTCCTTGTCATCTTTGTTTTTTATTTATGCTGACTAGTTGGTATTTCAGATACAAGCAGCGTGGTAATGAAGCTGTGGAAGCAAATAATGTTTTTTTCTATATTACATACGAAGGGACAATTGATATCGACAAAATCGAAGACCCAGTAAGTCTTAATGGTGCTGGTTTGATTTGTTTTCCTTTGTGATGGTTGCTTAAATGCCTCTTCAAAATCACATATAGGTACAAAGACGTGCTACCCAAGACCAGATTGCATATTTTGGGCAAACACCATCTCAATTGTTGACCGTTCCACATTTAAAGAAAAGACCCTTGGCTGATGTTCTACACCTACAGGTATTAACATCTTTTGCATTCTATTCAAAACAGTTCTCTCTCTCTCTCTCTCTCTCTCTCTCCTCCTATGTGTGTGTGCATGTGTATCTGATTCTTCTTTTGTACATTAGAATCAAAGATGAATGTTGTAGGACATGGTAGTCAGTCAAAGTAATTAATGCCTCTCTATGTTCACACTAGAAATTTAGTCAGCATTATAATAAATTCTTTTACATTTTGTTTAGGCGAGGATTTATCAACATGAGATGATGCATGTACTGTTGAGATTGGCCATGTAATTAGTTTTTTCATTGGGGATTTAATATTTTTTTTCTTATTCTAAATAATATTGAGGACTTAATAATATAAAGAAGTGATAATATGTGCAGGTTTTTGGTTGTTGACAATTTGATAAAAAGGTGGAACTATGTATTTTGTCAATTATTGCAGCATGCCTTTTCATATTCTGGAGCATCATTATTAATCACAGGAAGGGAAATTGTCCATAGTGTTACAGAAATCAAGTTTTGTATTTGCAATAAATTCACGAAGATAGTAAGTAATAACTAAATTTTAATTTATTGCTTTCAGGTGTAATAGAGGTCTATTTCTTGCTGCCATGGTTTTTGGAATATCATTCCAATTAATTTGGAATTAGTGACTACAAAAGATACATGAGAGTAATTTGATTATCAAATGTCAGCTTTATGCATGTGGCTACCACCATTTTGGCATCTATGACCGGAACCTACTACTGCCCCCTTCCACCTCATGTCATCTGCCACCCACAAAAATATCCTAGTCTAGTTATATCAAGTTTTTCATGGATGATTAGTCCAAATCTCAAAGAGAAAATATTAGGATAAGTTAATTCTATATTTTGGGCCCCATCTGTCAAAAGACTCAAAACCATCAACTCATCTGAGATGCTGGAACAATTTCTTGATAAGGTACTGCTAAAAATAAATCTCAAAATGTGAAAAGTGAATAATCTTCATAAATTCTTTTTTTTTTTTTAAGTAATTTCCATTTCATCGAATGATGTACATGACGCTCACAATGTACTAACCAACAATACACTAATGCACTTGAACCTAAGACTTATCGCTTGTGCAACAATATGCTAACCAACTTGGATATCTCAACTGAGACCATAAATACTTGGAGTGCTTCTTCTTATGCATGCAATAATCTATAAATGAGCTACCTCCCTTTATATGTCTACATTGTTATCTCATTGAAGTGCTTCATGATCTTCACAGATTTTGGTCCTTTACAATTAGTAATTTGTTTGCATAATCTAAGTTATATGCCTCTGCTACTGTTTTTCTGTTGAGAAATGTCTTCATGTTCTGCTATAAACTAACAAACAATATTTTTACCAATTGGATATCCATCAAATTACATTAATTATTTATTAGAATTTTTCCAGCGAAACAATCATTCCAACACTAGGCAAATATGAAAGGTCTGTCTTGTATTCAATTGTCTGGAATTACGTGATGAGCTTGGGGCTCTGCTTACTAGCCAATATTCTTGGTTGCTAATAAGATTAATAACTTCTTAGACGAATTATATACTGTTTCATGCGAACGATATAAATTCTTGAGCAATGGAAACAGCAAAGATAATCTTTTTCCAGAAGTTTTATGGTTATTTCTATTTTCTAACCAAATGCATATATTTGGAAGCTTGGGCAAGTGATTGGCAGCCATTTTATCAACAGAGGTTTGCCATGAGAATCTAACTTATGGGTGAAGGGATGATTTGTAGCTACAGAATATGTTTATATTGCAGGTCTCTGGGGCACCCAAATCATCTACTCTTAGGTTTCCAAAACGAACATTGCCCGCTCATATAGATCAAAGTACCATTCATGCACGATGATAACTAATATTATGATCTTTGCCAATTAACAAATATTGGGTAGAAAGTGTTGAACTGATATATGTTACCTTGATGCATATACAATGCTTGTTGTCACAAAATTTGCTAGAGAACATCAAGTGATCAAAATTGTGGCACATCTGTTCCAAGGACAATCCTAGGGCAATCCTCAATTATTATGATTGTGTAACCGAGCTCTTTGTTGTCTTGTCCAGCATGGAATTTTACTTATGTAAGAGGAATGCTTTGAAGCAAAAGAAATAACAGAGAAGCTCATTCAATTTACTATTTGGTTTCTCATAGGACTTGCTTTGTGATTACAAAAACAAGTCCTTTTTTTTCGCAAAGGGTAAGTGGTGATGTCAACTAGCTAAGTTAGTTGACATCTTCATTTTACAATAAATACGAGTAGATTTTTGTAAAAAGGGTGGCCTAGTTCACGAGGCTCCTTGCCCTTGCAAATCAGAGAGGTTGTTCTCTTGGACTCATATCTTGGTCGCCTGGATCTAAAATTATCATCATGCCAAGACTCTTGTCCTCTTACTGACGTAAGGTCTGATAAATTTAGTAAATCAAGAATATAAACTTAGGTATTATCCTTGAAATAATAAATCCCAGGAATGATGTTGATGTTATTATAATCTGTTCAGTATACTTGAAGAAACATCTAAAATGAACGAATTTGGAACGCCAAAAGGAATATCGAACATGATCTCTAAGTACAATGTTATATTTAGTTGTTTTTGCATTTGCAGAACCATATGTCTCCTTCAAGTCATCAATGCCCAAAATAAACCTTCAAAATACTAATCCGAGAGAGAGAGATCTGGAGTCTCTGTAGGCTGTATCTATTGTATTTTCTCTAAAACTGCAATTTTTATACTGATTAAGGTCCTATTCATCAGAGAGAATCAATTATTTTTGCATTGTTTGTTCATAGCCATATTTAGCCTGTATCTACTGATATATTTTTGTATGCCGGAATTGTGTCTTCTTAGTATGTGTAAAACATTGCCGAATTTGGCCGAAAGCTAATCCTGCTTAGTTTCTAAAGCTTTTGCTTATTTTTACAGACCATATATCGCAATCCAAATGGGATTAGACCTTATGCAGTTCCAAATCCAGATCGCTGTAATGTTCCTGCCGGTGCAATTTTTGCATCACCTGACTCTGTAGTAGTTGTGGATACAAATGCACCTGCAGCATATGTGGCACTGCACAAATGGCAACCAAATACTCCCGATGGCCATGGAACACCTTTCCTGTTTCAACACGGTAAGGCTGCTGCTAGTTCAACTGGTGGTGCGCTCATGCGCATGTTCAAAGGACCTGGTCCATCTGGTACAGATGACTGGCAATATCCTCGGGCTTTAGCTTTTCCAGCATCTGGAGTGCAAAGCTCAGCAATTGTTGCAATCACATGTGACAAAGAGATCATCACCGGTGGGTATTCTTGTTCCATTAACCTTTGCACAGCTGACTTCAGACTGCTATATAGTTTTATAACAAGACAATTAGAGAACAGCTGATCGATCTTTTCTTATATATTGGTAAGTGCTTACGATGAGGATCATTTGTAGGCACAAGGATAAACTAATCACGATAGATGCGTGTAATTCTACTGCATCCACTTTGAGTTGTACATTCATAATTTGCAGTGCAAGTATTTTATCTTTGTTTGATTCTGATATCCCAATCTGATATCAAGAGTTGATGGTCAGTTGGATTCGTATGCAGTGGTAGATAGGATAATTATGTTGGGCTTTGATGAGATGTCAAGCCACTAGTGGAGGAGATTGTAGTACCTTAAAATAATGGCTTATGATAACATGAGTTACTATCCACCTCAAAGAGTAAAGAGTAAGTCTTTACTCTCTTTTTGGGGCTTAGCCCACATGCTGTTGGGTTTGAAACACCAGTACAAGATTGCACTGCTGGTAGTTGAAAATAGAGAGTGTACCAACAATATCACTGTTATTCATATGTAGCTGGCTTATTATCTTAAGCATGGTAATGTGAATATCCTTTACAACTTTTATTTTTAAGACATACTCATTTTATTGTTTGAGAGGTTATGGCTTCTAGTTGTTGTTTCTAACATTTTTTAAATGTCATTATGATATTTTGACTTAATTGGCATGGCCCAATCGATATTAATATTATATCTAAGTGTTGCCAAAAAATGAGGGCTCAGCTACATGGATTTATCTAACAAGTGGCAGAGTGATTTCAAAAACTTCATTTTTTTTCAAACCCTTTTGAAAATGGTTGTTGTTTTACCTGTCTGAACCAGCTTGATCTTCTACCATTTTATTCTTGAATATAACACCTTCAGTTCCTACTAAAGAAAATATTTTGACCCTACATATCAATGCCAACCTCCACCACCACTGGCTACTTGAACGTAGTGAATATCATGTTCTTTAGTTGTTCTACATTCTGATGCAAAAAAGCACAGAAGTTGTATTCATTTCATAGAACTGTTTTTCTCATCATGATGGTCTTCCCAGTCATGTTCCAAACAAATTTAATGTCTCAACTCCAGATATTCATTTCACTTTTTTGTTGATGTGGGCATTCTACATTTGATGTATCGATATTTTGGCTTATACACATTGTATTCATTATTTTCGAAATTCAATCTGTGGAATTTGCTTTGGGACATATTGTCTTTAAATATCAATGATTGTTCACTTCAATGAATACAGGTGGGCATTCTGATAACTCCATCAAGTTGATCTCCTCTGATGGGGCCAAAACGATTGAAACTGCTGCTGGGCATTGTGCACCTGTGACCTGTCTTTCCCTTTCAAATGACAGCAACTATCTTGTCACGGGTTCTCGAGACACAACTGTTATAATTTGGAGAATACACCGTGTTTCTCCTTCAAATGCAAAGAATGTATCAGAATCTACCCCAACAGCAATTAGTCCTGCAGGTGGTAGCGATCCAAATAGTACACTAGACACTAGCAGAAGGCATCGGATTGAAGGCCCCATGCATGTATTAAGAGGTCATCTTGGAGAGATAATCTCCTGTTCTGTTTGTTCTGACCTAGGTGCTGTTGCTTCCTGCTCAAATGCTTCCGGCGTTATCCTACATTCTTTGAGGAGAGGTCGATTGATAAAGAAGCTAGATATTAAGGAGGCACATATTGTCTGCCTCTCATCTCAAGGAGTTCTATTAATTTGGAATAAGATCAAGAAAAGTCTATCCACCTTTACAGTCAATGGGATACCGATTGCTACAACAGTTATATCACCTTTCTCTGGCAGAATCAGTTGCATTCAGATTTCTGCTGATGGGGAAAATGCTTTAATTGGGACATCATCTTGTACAAATGATACTACTAAAGATGACATTGTCGCAGAAAATAACAATATGGAGTTAGACAGAACTGACGTTTCTAATGAAAACACAGAGGACAGAATAGCAGTTCCTGTTCCTTCAATTGCTTTCCTAAATTTGCATACCCTGAAGGTAAGCTGTTATCTATTTCTTTCCTGTTGTAATTGTTATGCGTGTTAATATGTCATAAGTTTGTTGGGATTTGGTTGCAGGTTTTTCATACTTTGGTTTTGGAACGAAGTCAAGACATCACTTGCATAGGTCTGAACAAGGATAGCACCAACCTTTTAGTATCAACAGCAGATAAACAGCTGATAGTTTTCACAGACCCTGCTGTAAGCGTTTATAATTCAAATCTCATTTTTAGCAGCTAACTAGGCCATGCATTAATGATTTTCAAGATTTTGGTTTTCCATGCTATAAATGTATGATATTGACATAAGCCATGAACAATAAGAGAGTCCATTTGAATAAACATCACATTTTTTGCTTCATTTCAATCATGCTTCTTAGTTTACTCATGCCGAATAATCGTATCTTTAGCGTAATAAGCATACTGAGGTGCGATTCGCATGATGCACCTGAACATGCATTCATCTACACTTTCTTTGGCCTTGGCATATATCAAAATCTCTCTTCTTGCAGTTGAGCTTGAAGGTAGTGGATCACATGCTTCGGCTTGGTTGGGAAGGTGATGGTCTGCTTCAATCATGAGCGGTTGATTCTTTTCGACGCATGATTCTTGACCTCTTGTGGCTTTCGGCCAGCCATCGACCAACCATATGTGTTGTGAAACACATTGTGCAAATAGTAGGATAGCAGAATATTGAAACATTGTGCAGAAGAGAGGATGCAGAGTTGTCTATTTTTCTTCATTCTGTATATGATCTTATTGTTTTATAGATGAAATCAGTTTTGAGGTTTTTCTCCTCCTCTTTAGTTCCTTCTCTTTCCTTATCTTGCCTTCTTTCCGTATTTTGATGTACTACAAGTTAGCAAGTGCTGAAACACAACAAATGCTGCCTTTTTCAGGACATTGGCTGCTGCATAGCATATGAAATTATTTGAATCTCTTAATTCTTCCACTCGGTATGCCAGATTACTCTACTAGCTGTCAGCATCAAATAAGCTGTTCTTTGAGAGCAAATCTCGAGATGTCTTCTGAGCAGTACTCTTCAGAAACATAAGATTTGACTCAGGTACAATAAACCTATAAAAGAATCTCTAGAAGGTTTTCTCGGTTGATAATATAGTTAAAATCACAAGTACGGTAAGTTATATGCGTGATGTTTCAAGCAATTTGTCATCTTGACCGTTATCTCTGTTCCATCCTCAATTTCTGTATTGTGATTGTGTTCCTGTATTCGAGGCATTGTTAGGAGCACCAACAGAAGACACAGCATATTAGTGGAGAATGACACGGATAGAAGCAAGAGGGGATACGTGACGCGAGTGGAGAAGGTTGGTCAGGACAAGACTGGTGCTGGTGCTCATTGAATTGAAGACCCTACCATAATTAACTCGGTTTGTTGTGCTGCCTCGCAGTATATAGCGGCATATGTAGCACAGCCATTGGTGTCAATTTGGCAGAGCGACAACCGGTCAATTGAATCCATTAATAGTTTGGATCGGACCAACTTAAGGATCACTAATTTGGCGTCTGTCCCCTCTCCGGATACCGCATTCATCCATTTAAGTAAACCGCCCACCGCAAGGAAACGTTCAACGCGTTTTCTCTCCTCCGCTCCGTTCATCTCCTGGCACTTCTCTTGAACCCGTCTTCTCCTTTTCTCTTCGTTCATCTCCCCTTTCTTTTTCCTCATCCTTTGCCAGGGTTTAGAATTCTAACATCCGATCTGGTTGCTTGGAGTCGAAGATGTTGGACCAGCTGCTGATCTTTACGCGGGGTGGGCTGATCCTGTGGGAGCTCGGCAGCTCGCTCAAGGGATCCCCGATCGACGCGCTCATCCGCTCCTGCCTCCTCGAGGAGCGCTCCGCAGACGCGGCCTTCCACTACGACGCTCCCGGCGCCGCCGGCGGAGCCGCCTACACCCTCAAGTGGGTCTTCGACAACGACCTCGGCCTCGTCTTCGTCGCCGTCTACCAGCGCATCTTTCATCTCCTCTACGTAGACGATCTCCTCGCGGCCGTCCGCCGCGAGTTCTCCCGGATCCACGACCCCAGTCGCACGTCGTACGATGATTTCAACGAGACCTTCCGCCAGCTCCAGAAGGAGGCCGAGGCGCGGGCGGAGGAGATGCGCAAGTCCAAGCAGGCTGCCCGCGTCCCCACGGCGCCCAAGAAGCAAACCAGCGGTTCCGGGAAGCAACGAAATAGCGGTAGCAGTGGCAACACCAGCGGTTCTGGGAAAGACGAGTCAGATGGCGATTCAGGAAAGGGCCGTTGGTTAGCGAATGGTAGTTCAAATGGGCAAGGGAATGAAAGTAAAGACAATTCTCGTGCCCCGAGTGGTTTTCTGAAGGGAAAAGAGACCGGAGCGCGTGAAGTTGGGGCATTCGATGTAAACAAGTTACAGAAGTTGCGGTCCAAAGGTGGGAAGAAGACGGACGCTGGTGGCGTTGGGAGCAAGGCCACCAAGGCGGAGCCAAAGAAGAATGTGAAGAAGAACAGGGTTTGGGATGATTCACCTTCTGAGTCGAGATTGGATTTTACGAATCCAGTGGATGAGAGAGGGGAAGAGCCTCTGGAGGTTGTGGAGGCAGATCGAGGAGAGAGCATGATGGATAAGGAGGAAATTGTGAGCAGCGAAAGTGAGAGTGAGGAAGATGAGGAAGTGGAGAATGAAAAACCTTGCACGAAGAAGAAGGGGTGGTTCTCGTCTATGTTCCAAAGGTAAATATTTGGATTTGAAACCTCTTCATGATTGTTTATTTAGTGAATGCTTTGGTTATATATCAATAGTTTTCTTTCAAATATCTTCATTCAACTTACTGTAGATTATTCTTCTCTCTCAAACGAGGGAATATGCATAGCTGATACCTGCACATGTATCTGTTTGTAGCTTCTCGACTTAAATGTTCTTTTCTGATGCTTATTTTATAAATCTATCTCTACAATAGTTCATGTGCTTGTGGTCTAAATTTGTAATATGCCCACCACAAATTGAAATTAGTGTATAATCAGAGGTCAAAAGAGGGTAATTAAATCAATCCTTTTGATTGATTGCACCTTAGATTTTGCATACAAAACAAAATGTTTTAGGTCCTCAATGGCCCCATAGTTTTTTTTTTTTTCTCTTCAGAACCTTAGCTGCTATTCCATGCAATCTGGATCCACTATGTTCCGACAATTATTCATCTATGTTGCATTTTCTTGGCTTCAGTATTGCAGGTAATGCTGTGTTAGAGAAGTCTGACTTGAAACCAGCCTTGAAAGCTCTCAAGGATAGGTTGATGACTAAAAATGTGGTATGTGTCTGGTCTTCCATGTTTGGTTGATATATGTATGCCAAATTCTGATGTTTGTTTCAACTATTATACTATTCATCATAGAGTTAGTTTTTCATGGAACTTTCAGGCTGAGGAAATAGCTGAAAAGCTTTGTGAATCAGTAGCAGCTAGTCTTGAGGGGAAAAAACTGGGCTCCTTTACGAGAGTTTCTTCAACAGTTCAGGTTTGTTGATGGGGTTGATGTATACCTTTTTTTTGCTGGCTTCACTTTGCTGCAGTCATACTCTTGCAAAACCGTATATCTCAGTGTTGGATTACAACTGCAGACAGCCATGGAAGAGGCACTTCTTCGTATTTTAACACCAAAGAGATCCATTGACATTTTGCGAGATGTCCATGTCGCTAAGGAGCATGGAAGACCTTATGTTGTTGTTTTTGTTGGTGTCAATGGAGTTGGAAAATCTACCAACCTTGCCAAGGTTAGCATATTTTTCTCTTAATTCTTTATATTTGGCTGGCATTTGTCCCATTTCTGAAATATCTTCTTCTTTTGTAATTATATAGGTTGCATACTGGCTTTTGCAACATGAAGTTAGTGTCATGCTGGCCGCATGTGATACATTCAGGTCTGGTGCTGTTGAACAGCTTCGGACTCATGCACGCAGACTCCAGGTATGCCACCTACTCTTGATTTATTGGTGTTTGTTCATGATGGATATCAGCTTTCCATTGTTTTATTTTGCTCATTGCTCGACTATGCCTCCTTTCACTTGTGCTCATTGTTTATTGATAAATTTGGATTTCATGCCGAGAGATTGGAAAAGATCATCTACATGCTACTCTTTAGTCGATTTCAAAGAACATGTTGGACTTGCCACTACATATGGTTTGGTTTCTCTCTGTTAATACATCTTGAAAGAAAGAAGCAGTCGTAAGGCTCCTGGCGATCCTTTTTTTACCTTTTGCAGCATTGAATGGTAGCTTCTGCTGTTAGTGTAGTCACTAGTCAAATGAAGATTAAATTGACCGTTACCAACCTTTGGCTTTGATACGGATCAAGTTTGTAATCTGACTTTGCTGTGACATTAGCATTGTTACAATACAAGTGATTAAAAAGCTGAAGTGTGCAAAGGCTACGAGACCTATACATTTGTAACAACTAAAATGCTTTGCAGATACCTATCTTCGAGAAAGGCTACGAAAAGGATCCCGCAATTGTAGCGAAAGAAGCTATCCAGGAGGCTAAATCCAATAATTCAGATGTTGTCCTTGTCGACACAGCTGGCCGTATGCAGGTAAGAATTACTGGGGACACTATTAATTGGCCAAACATGTAGGAGATGTATTGTCTATAACCAGCTTTCTTGCTGTTGCATATCAGGATAATGAGCCACTGATGAGAGCACTCTCCAAGCTCATCAACCTCAACAACCCAGATCTGGTACTTTTTGTTGGAGAGGCTTTGGTTGGAAATGATGCTGTGGATCAATTAACCAAGTTCAACCAGGTACTATGTGTCCCATGTTCTCCATTTCAAGATTGTTGTTGATAATTTTACCAGATGACCAGTTCGAGCAGCCATCCTGCATCCTTTGGTAGACCCACAGTTTTACCAATCACTTGGTTGTTTCACATACTACCATGCAGAAATTAGCAGACCTGTCCACGATTTCGAATGCCAGGTTGATCGATGGCATCCTGCTCACCAAGTTCGACACGATTGATGATAAGGTTGTAAATTGTTTTAGCCGTAGAAGTTGCTTTCTTGTCGTTACTTCGTTTTTCCACTAATTCCCGAAATTTTCATGTCAGGTTGGAGCAGCTCTTTCCATGGTCTATGTTTCAGGAGCTCCAGTGATGTTTGTTGGTTGCGGTCAGTCCTACACCGACCTTAAGAAGCTCAACGTGAAGTCCATTGTCAAAACTCTTCTGAAGTGAGCATAGTACCGCTGTCCGAACTTTTAGTCCCCCATGACCTCATTCTCTTGACGTCTTAAGCAAATGAATCATACTGGCTCTGCTGTAGATTCTTTCAAGCGAAGATGTCTATTCTTTAACAAGAATTGCTTTCTTGTTATAATTTTAGAAACTCTTAATCACATTTTGATAGTAGCATTATCTCGAATACCAGCCCCAATCTGTATTTACCAATCCGAGAAAGGATTGGTATCGGACTCTACGATTCGGTCAGTATTTAATTTTAATTTTAATTTTTCAGCTGATACAGGTTTGATTAACTATCAAATGTATTAGTCCGATGAAGTATTGAAATCGGTACCAAATTGAGATTTAAAATCTTGGTTAGCAGTTCTTTTACTAGAAATTGTATTTCTATGGAACATTTTCTGGCTGCCATACAAGTAACCAGGTAGAGCACTACAAGCGGTACTCTCTCCACACCCACCTCTCAGGCCGGTTGTTACTGTGGACCAACGTGCAGGTGGTGGTGGAGGGTGGCGCATCCACACCATATGGCCCGACGAAGGCTATACCCTACGTGAGTTCACCATGGGGAAACGGCGAAAGCTTTTAAGGTGCATGGAGAAGCTGCTGCCTTTGAAGGAGAACTTACATAATTACACCTGAAGCTACTCAGGTTTGTCTCAATGAACCTTAAATATTTGCTTCGTTTTGGAACCATCTAATAAGAAATATATAAATAGCAGAATTCCAAAAGGGCTTACCCAGAAAGGACAAATATGTAAATTAAATCCCAATCGCAATAACGTCTCTCGGCAACGCTGCTTTTGTTCGTGCTGGCCTATAAAACCCCTGGAGGCGCGCCATTACCATTCGGAATCCACAGTTTCTCCCTCTGTCCTCCCATCATTCTTTCTCGGGCAAATAGAACTACCCTCCGCCTTCTGCTCCCGCTTCCCGATCGAAACCCTAACATGTGCTTCCTATCTCTCTTAGCAATACCTCTGATGAGCGTCCCTCGGAGATCGGTTATCCCTGCCTGGAGATCGAGGAAACGACGCCTCTTAGGTGAATCACTCGTTTCTCATTATCTTGATCGACGATGCACCGTTTGCTCACGCATGGGAAAGAATCGTTCTGATGATGATGCTCATGGTATTAGTCTAAGTATTCTTTTACGTTATCTCTGTTTTGTTCTTTTGGAATCGGTTTCATTGTTTGTGGTTTGCTATTTCTCACAAGAAACAGCGAATCTAACGGATCTCAGATCTGATTTATCTTTCATCTATAGAACTATTAAGTACACGGGGATGCTTGCTTATTATCTTAGGGTGAACAAATAAGATGACTGCTCTTCAGATACTGCCGGTCACTTCCTTTTCTGGTTTGGCAACGAGGCTAAAGTCTGTGACCTTTTGTGGAGCATAGGATGATGGAATTTACTTTTTGCCATTCTGGAGATCTTGATCCCTCTGTCTATCATCAGTCTCTTCCGAGAAGTCCTGTTGACCTTCGTTTTTTTGCTGTTCCATGTTCTTCGTTCAACATTTTTGGCTTGATTTTTTTGAGTGGTCTGATGTTGATATTATAACTGATAGCGTTTCGATATGGTACGGTTGGACATTAAGCTTTGCTCAGCAACGGATCTGTGTTAAGCTGATTGAAGTTAAACGCTGGCTACAATTAAGCTGCAATTGCAGCTCTGTTACTAATTAACCCAATACCAACATCATTCTCTTCGGCCGCTGACTGATAATGGCACTGGACCAAGATTTTGTTCATGAATTTAACATACAAGTTAAAATCTGATAATTCTGAGAGTTGATGTACATTCCAATTATATAGGGAGCAACCATGAAATGAAATAGGTATCTCTGAAGGATCAGAAATAAGTTTTCAGTTTATCAAGTAAAGGAAATAATTTACCATTTTATGGTGAGAATCCATTGCAAGTCATTTATCAAGGTTAAAGAAGTTCTGTTATATTCTGGTGGAGGAAGTATCTGTCAGAAAGCTCATCAAATGAACACAGGTTTTACTTACAAGAATTTCGGATCATGAAAATACATCTAAGGCTGACTAAGAAAAATAAATATGGTATCTAGAAGCTTAAAGTGCAGTGGGGACTACATTCTCTAATAATATTCTAGTTCAACTCAAAGCTTTTATTGTTAAGAATTAAATCCTCCTCCATCTGGAATGACTTTAAGATCCTAAATTATTGTTATTATTTACTGGGGAGGATTTCCAACCATTAACACCATTCATGTTCATATGCTAAGTTGACAATCAACTATCGCAACCTTCAACTTCAAATTCAAGGCCCTCTAATTGTGATAGTTACCAAGTGGAAGCACAACATGGTCAAGTGGAAGCATAAAATGTTTGTTAAGGCATCATTGGAAAATATACCCTATTGTTGAGAGCAGAAAAAATCATATTTATTGTTAATATGTTAGCTCATTGAACATTTTTCTTTTATTTTACAATGATATGAAGAACTTTCTTTCACATTCTTACTAATTCCACAGGAAATGAAAATGGCAGAAAGGCAAACTGGTATTAACAAACTGTAATAGCTCTGGTGGCCTCAAGAAAAAGATGTAGATATGAATATTTAGCTAGTCTTTGAAGATTCTAATGATTTTGCTAAATGATGTCTTTTTTATACTGTCGATTCTTTTGGCTTGACAGCAGTGTAGTTTTGAATCTGATTTTTTTTTGTTTTTTTGTGACACTACTGACTGTGGGATAAAAGTGTTTTTTCTATCCTGCTATATCTCTCTGTGGACTTAAATGCAATTCTAACTAATGATAATTTACAGCTGAGGGGAACTGTTCAGCAGTTGCAGTTTGTATTGAAAGCCGAAGAGACTTTTGTTGTTATTGATTTGCAGTAGGGGGTTTCATTAGCATTTTGAAGAATTTGGTTGTGTTGCTATCAGACGTGAGAAATAAGGAACTCTTAACATTTGATAGGAAAGTCTCACAATGATTTGTGTGCATTGATTCATGCAATCTAGTAGTTAGGACCTTTGACCAATGATAAATCTGTCAAAACACTGGAACAATCAGGAAATATTAAGAATCTGCATTTTCGAGGAGTTCATTTCCTTAGTGTTGCAAAATTTTGTTGTTCTGTGGTAGGCAAGATCAAATTCGGTCAGCGTTTCCTTGTAGCATAGCTACTTGTTGGCTTAAGTTTAGAAAGATATGTACATTCTAGATACCTCAAGATCTTCATAATCAACATAAGAATGTTCAAATCAAGAATAACACTTCTTGTTGACTAGAAATCAGCAATTTAGAATTTCATGAAAAAAAATTATATAACTTTGAGACTCTTTGTGCACCCAAACCAGTGTGACTGGAAATTTTTTTCAATGAAGGAAATAAGTTGCACTCACCGGAAAAGAATATCTTATCAATGTACACACTATTTGACATCTGGCATCGCTTCGGGGCTTGCAAGCCCTGGATCTCTGGTGCATCCAGTTGCTTGCCTATACAGACGACTCATTTTTTGTTTAACATTAAAGAAACACTAATTCTTCAAAGCATTTTTAAGAGTCCGGATTGTCATCACAAGTTGCTGTCTTTCACCTTCTACTTCTGCAAATTTCAGGCTTATCTCAGAATATCTTTCTTGCATTTCTTTCAGCTCAGCTTCCATTGATTGATTCTGTCTTTTCAGAAGAGCCATCTCACTTGACATTTTAGCAAATGTATACTGATCACATATATAGGAAACAATGTGTTGATTTTCTTCTGAGTTAGTTCCAGAGTGCCTGCAAAAGAGATTAAAGTCATCAGAAGATCATTTGCCATAAAATAAACGTGATAGTTACTAGAAGTTCTATGCAGAAGGAGAAAAACTATAAGAAATGCTGGTAATTCATGAACAGTCACCTTGTGGCTAATTCTTGATCTTTGTTGTTTATATAATTTGTTTGTGCTTTGTTTCCCACCCTTTGCTGTTGTAGACAAGCAACATCACCTTCGAATTCATTTGTGCCAGCAAACTTGTTGCTTTTTTGGCAAGGTTTGCCTTCCTGCATTAGATGATTACTTAAGTAATTATCTTTAAGAAAAAACAAATAACATTTTTATGCCTCTATTATGGTGCCCACACTATTGGTCAATGGTACAAACATGCTCAAATTTCATTCAGACAATATGTAGCTCTGTCTTAATTTACTTGTTAAAAAAAACATTTTCATTGCATCAAGTTATGCTGAAGCAGTTTCACAAAAGTAAAAAGAAGAATTCTCAACATTCGTGTTAACTATATGCAAAATTTATGAATGCCAAAATGCCTTAAGATCTCCTCATTCACAAAGAGATTTTTGTTTGAATCAACTAACTGATATTTCCATAACTTTGACCTCATTTCTCTGGTTCTTCTGGTTCTGTAATGATGAATGTATCATTACTGTTTCTTCCTGCCAAATTTATTTCATTTTATTAATTACAAATAACATACCAATATAGCAATATTTTTTAAAGCACTACTCAGCATGTTTCCATTTCAATGGTTGTGTTTTAACTTTTTTATGTATCTGTGCATGTGCAGGCATAAACATGAATGTTCACTTATTGTGGTGGGTTTATTTCTAACTTTATGGAGGAGCATGAGGTGCTAGACCATGTCATCTTTTCATGTTTGGTGATACTTACATTGGTGTAGCTGTTCCCAAGTTCTTCCTCTGAACTGATTATCATATCCTCCTCCTTTAAGAGACCACCCGTCAAGTTGGAAACCAGTCTCCTCAGTTTCTCCTTTTCTAATTCACCTTCAGACAGTGATTGCTTCAGGTCATTGTACTGCACTCCAAGGGTTTCTACCTTGGAGTTTAGCATTGTGATCATGGTCTCTTTTTCATCTTTCATGTTCCTCTGGTCGCTTAATTCCTCCAATGTATTTTCTACTTTCTGCTTCAATAGTGCTATCTCGTTCTTGAGAATTTCATTTTCTGAGTTTTTAACTTGTAGCGTTAACTGATTTCCTGTATTTGTTGACTCCAAATTTTCCATCTCTGCTGCCAATTTCTCTTTCTGTCCTGAGATGAGATAATTCTCCATTTTGAGATTTTCAATCTCATTTTTCAGTAATTGCATTTTCTCCCAGGATTCTTTGAGCCTTGCTTCCCCAGACTTCTTATAATCTTCAAGCTCCTCTTTCTTGTTTTTGAGTTCCAAGTGCAGCCTATCTGCTTCTTTAGATTTAAAATTTACAAGGTTTAATAGCTGTTGAAGATTCATACGGTATTGCCCTCGCAGTGATACTAGGTTTTCCTTGGTTTCCTCCAACATTTTCTCCAGATGGCTTCTTTGTGAACGCAATTCACTAGCTTCTTTTAAAGCTTGCTTCACTA